GGACAGCGATTTTCCCCCTCCCCCTCCCGGCCTTAGCCAAATTTTTACTCGACCTCACTCTTCGCCTCCCACTCCGTCTCTCCCACTCACTGTCTGCGTTTGCTCTCATGTGGGGCTGAGGCTGTAGCGTCAGCTCATTCTCAGTCAATCTTGTGTGTGTGTGTAAGTGTGTGTCCCACCCCACTCCAGCACTACTAGTAAAACCATCGCTGAGCTAGACGTGTTATGGCTCAGAGAGAAAACAGGGCGACTCATAGGTGCTCTCGCTGAGAGAAAGTGAACTCACTCCGTAGGGGTTTTTTTCGGCGGGGGTCACAGTGAGTCACCCGACTGCTTGGCCTCTTACTCTTCACTGCGGGACGCCGCTGGTGAGTCATGGCAGAGCAGACTGGACTGGGCCGTATCCTCTGTGTCACATGCCTCTCCTGAACGTCTCTCGCACTGTTGAACTTTTAACCTTATAACCATTGAGAAAAAAGAAAAACCCAAAACACACCAAAACCACAAACCTATAAGTCAAAGGGTTGACTTTTCCTTTCTGGTGCACAAGACAGATGTCCCTATCTCCCGACTCCGCTGGCCCCGGCTCTTTTTTTCTCACCACAGACAGTGCAGGGCAGTGTTTCCCGAACCCTTTCCCCCCAATGCGACCCGACAGAGCGGTGCAGGCATGAGGTTGTGTTTGGAGGGCCGACCCCCGGATGTTAGCGTCGCACTGGTTCCCTCGACAAAGAGCCCATTGGGATTCTTCCATATCAATCCAGAAAATGTGGCAAACACAAGTTTATTATGATACAACACTTTTTGTTCAGGAAGATAATCTTCACAAAGAAACACCACTGTTTATGATTTTTTTTAATGCATTAGGGAGAAGTGAAAAGCTGATGTTAGGCTATAAATTAATACAACGCATTTAGTATACAACAAGGCTGTAAAGGCGGACTAGTCCGCATGATGGCGATTTGTTGTCTCATTTGGCCACTTGTTAGCGACCGCCTTTTTTAAGACACTTAAAAGCTTCAAAATGAAGGAGAGGAGTATCTACTGGCGTATTTCATATCGTAGAACAAGACATTAAAATCGATTAAGTTGTGTTAACAACAGAAGTTATTTCTGACATCTAACCCGTTGACTTTCAGACGAAGGAACAGAAAGTGCAAAAACGTTAACTTATTTCCGGGGTTTTCGGACTCATTGCTGCAGCACCCTATTCGCAATAATCCTTAACTATAAATCGCGAGTAGAGCAAATTTCTACTGCCATTTCCGCATCACCTTATGTTATTATGAATAGGTAAACCAGCCATTTCAAAGAGATACACGTTCGATAACTCACAGCTTTTTATGCATGTGTTATTGAAAACATACACACACTTTAAACACTTGAGACCAAATAAATGCATTCAGGTGGAGTTGCCATGTCACTCTTTTCATTTCCTCTCATCAGTAAAACAAACAGAATGCACGCTAGCCTTTTATGAAGGTATATTTGTGTCTTTATTACGCAAACAAAAAAAAAAGTTTTAAAAGCAAATTTCTCGCACTGCAATCAAAAATCAAGTTTGTAAGTGAAACTATATAAACTGAGAATAATTTATTTGTTAGTTTTGCTTATGAAACTAGAATTTTTGGTTAAAAAAATAAAATCTTTGGTTAAAAAAATAATATCTTTGGTTAAAAAAATTATATCTTTGGTTAAAAAAAACAAACAATCTTTGATTAAAAAAAAAAAGCTTTGGTTTCAAAACGAAAAGCTGAGTTGAGTTTTTTGTTTGCGTAATAAAGACACAAATATACCTTCATGGGCGGGTCATACGCTGCTGAATGTGCCGGGAGTTTCTATTGGTCGGTTTGACTTGGCTCTCGGTATCTGCTTCCACTGTAAACACTGCCCATGTCCCAATCCAGCAACTGCATCCTTCAGGAGACCCAGCCTTCGCGGTCCACATCGGCCGTGTCCTTTGAGGACCACGAAGGCTGGACCGAGTGGTCTCCGAAATGAGACGGCCTATGCTACAGAGGACTTCCTGTTTGCGTCACCAGCTGCCCCCCCCAATCCCCTTGCTGCTCCCGTGCCTAGAATGCCTGCTCAGGATTATACTGTATATACAGATATATATATATATATATAAACTGTAAAGGTTTTAGTTTTAATCTGTTTTTCAATCATATATTCAATAATTCATTCATAGTTATTTTTCTTAATGTAGTTTTTCTAAATTAATAATCATATTAATTATACATGCATGTATATATATATGTGTGAATGAAATAAATAAATATATATGTATAAATACATATATGTATATATGTATATATACATACATGTATATATACATATATGTATATATGTATATATACATACATGTATATATACATATATATTTATTTATTTCTCAATCTTTCTAGTAGAGAAAAGAGCCTGGATACTTGCAATCCTAAGGCAGAGGACAGTTAACAAAAACAACAGCAGCAAAACAAATATCAGCAAACGTGTTTATTAGCTTGCAGTTGGGAGGGTGACTGCCAAAATTGTCCAAATCACATTGAGAAAATGATGAACAGAGAAACATTTATCAATAATGTTAACACATGGATGCAAACTTAGAAGATTGACAAATTTTACACAGCAGAATATATACATATTCACATATAAATCATTTACATGGATGTCTTATTTCAATTTAAATAAAAGAAAGAAAAAGGTGACATCACAATAACACATCAGAAGTGTATTGTCCTCTCTACTGGTTGTCCTATTAGTAAAGGCTTTATATAGGATTAGAGCTAATGTAACTGTAACCTTAAGTACAGGATGGTCAGATGGAGATATTACAAATGGACTAATGTCTCAATCCAAAGCTACGGTTGCTGAATGTTTGTCCCTGGTGAAGAGGCCGTCGTTCTTCCCCCTCAGCTTGATGAACTGAGCCGTTTGCTCCTGGCTCCCTAAAACAAAACAAAATGTAGTTAGTTTTATTTCACACCACAAAACAAAAGGTGCAAAATACTCAAATTCAGTTTATCCTTGTAATTAATCTCGTTTGTAACGTTACCGGACTTAAAGTGATATTTCAGGTTCACAACCCGAGCTCCTGTTGGTCCGTTTAAGGACATAATATGAAGTATAAATGATCTGTAAAATCGTCACAATCTCAGTAAGATATCATTCAACCTCTGAAGTTTGAAAGTGAAGGAAAGAAAAGTTACTTTACAAGGCTTAACTACGGTCGGATACAGGCAGACGAGCTACCGCTAACGTTAGTTAGCTTGTCAGCTACAAATGTCACGTAACTTAACCAATGATTTTAACAAACATGTGATGTTATAGCTCCCGGTAAGGGAGTAACGTTAGCCCACTGTGGGTTAACGTTACATGCACTTTGCCTGAGGCATGGCTATGTTAGCTAAGGTTAGCTGCGCATGTATGAGTATAAGTGCTGCTACATTTAAAATCATTTTGACAAAACAGAGCAGTATAATGTCAATTTACCTCCATGTCACCGTAACCTCCCATCGTCCGTGTTTAATGGATGCAGATACCGAGAGCCAAGTCAAACCGACCAATAGAAACTCCCGGCACATTCAGCAGCGTATGCCCCGCCCATGAAGGTATATTTGTGTCTTTATTACGCAAACAAAAAACTCAACTCAGCTTTTCGTTTTGAAACCAAAGCTTTTTTTTTTTTTAATCAAAGATTGGTTTTTTTTTTTAACCAAAGATATTATTTTTTAACCAAAGATTTTATTTTTTTAACCAGAAATTCTAGTTTCATAAGCAAAACTAACAAATAAATTATTCTCAGTTTATATATTTTCACTTACAAACTTGATTTTTGATTGCAGTGAGAGAAATTTGCTTTTAAAACATTTTTTTTTGTTTGCGTAATAAAGACACAAATATACCTTCATAGCCTTTCATATTATTTTCAATGTTATAAATTTACTGCAATTGTGGACTATGGAAGAAATTCTGCATATTTATTTTGCGACCCTAAATAAAATCTCCTGTGACCCATCTGTGGGTCCCAACCCAGTGTTTGGGTATTTCTAGTAAAGGAAAGGTGTTTCAGCTTGGATGTGTTTCTGCTCAAGGTTGCGTGATGTTTTTGCAAACCAGCTCTCTGAGGCCGGGGTGCGTCAGATGCCATGTGTCAGTGAGTAAAGTTGCGTAAACGTGCACGTATGCCCCATTTGTCCCTTCATACATCTGGTGGTTGCCCGGAGGGCCATTGCTGCGTTCAGATGGCAGCTAGGGAGCTTCCTCTACAACATCCTCAAGCCTCGAGGTATCTGGATTACGACCAAAAGGATTGGTGACAGAAGCTGTACGTGTGTGTGTGTGTGTGTGTGTGTGTGTGTGTGTGTTAGACAAGTCTGTAGATTTTAATTAATTGGAATATTATTGCAGTTCAGTCAGAGAGGGGCAGAGACTTGAGGACAGCACATCTCTTGAAATTAAAGTAATTCCAGACAAGCCGGGGGAAATTGACTCCCACATGAATCACTTAACTAATCGTTATCTAATGATTCGGTTGTAACACATTACTCACAATCTCAACATTAGTCTGGTTAACTTCACATCAGCAGTTCGACAGTTGCCAACAAACTCAACCGGTTATGATTTTTAATTCCATGGGCATTTTAGTGAAGGTCTATACTGACCCCTGCTGGTTAATAAACTAAAAGGAACTTTAATAGTACTTGATACATTTAGCTTTGAAACGTCATTGTCAATATCTCTCAGTCTCATACCTAACCACCCATACACACGCTTTTTATTTAAACTAATTTAATTTCTAAGTAAGTAATAAACATTTTAATAATTTACTAACACTAATAATTTAGTTTGAATACGATTTAATTTACGACCAATTTAACGGTTTAATGTATATTTAGAAGTAATATCTATGCAGCAGTAAGGTTTCAATTTAGGTTTCAATTTCTTAGAGTACTGCGAGCAAAAGAAAATACTTTGCGACCTTTGCGACAGTGCAGTAAATGGCGCACGAATCGGAAAACGGCAGTGAGGAAAAGATGGCGGAGGGAAGTAATGATGCAGAGCTGCTGAAGGAGAAGGCGAATAAGTATTTTAAAGGTAATGTGACAGACCTGTCAAGCCAATGTATTTTAATCAGCAGTTTATAACTGACAACGATGTGACTGTTAGCTGTAGTGGCGACATAATTTTGTAGCATCACGCGCAAAACCGTAGCCGGTCGCTAATGCTAGGCTAACATTGCTCTCAAAGCATGCTAACCGTAAACTCCATTCATTGGATTACGATGCACTGAATTGAAATTAGCTGGTTTAGCTAACGCTAGCTAGCTACAACACCAGCAGCTACAGCATCGATGTTAACACATGCCGCCACGCGTGTCGTCTATAGTGCACACCGAACTTGTTTAAATCGTTATTGTTATACTTTATATGGGTTTTCAAACGCATGCTGTGTACACTCTCTGTGTATGTTCAGTCGTGTCGTCAGGTTATCGTTAGTTTAAAGTGAGATTCAGAAATAACTCCCAGAATATTCTATTAGCCAGCGGGCGCGCGCGTGAGCAGCAGCAGAGCCTCGGTTTCACAACAATACAGTAACTGTTAAATGTAGATGTGTCCATTTCTTTCAGTATTAGTGCAAAAGTATTAGCATTTTACTCCAAGGACCCAAAGTAAAAGTGCTCGTTATGAAGAACGGCCCATTTCAGATTCATATGACTGGATTATAATTATTCACTTTAATAAGGTGCTGCTAATTGTAATTACTTTATATACCAGCCTTTCTTGAGTGTAATTACTCTTTAATTATATTTATTTATATTCTTTATTTATATTTTATTTACTAATAATACAGTAAGTTTTTACTTTTCTCTCTGTATCTGTACTTATTTCTGTTCCGGATTTCACCTCTATGGATCAATAAAGGCTAATCTTATTCCAGCCTATAATAATAAATCATAATTTATTAGTTCATTTATATTTTTGTATTATTAATCTGAATCTGCAAAGCAACTAGTGATTAGTGCATAAATCATACCTGAGTACAGTACTTGAGTAGAAACACATTGGTACTTTTCACCGCTTTCAGTTTGACAAAGAAAAGCACCAATAACGAAAGTTCTCTTCCTTTTCTATTCGATTTCCAAAGGGCTGAGAGATCGTGATGAGTTTGAACAGATGTAATGGAAAGGTTGTCTGATGTGCAGGGTTGACTTTATGCCTGCTGCATAAAATCAACAGGACAGGGATTGATTTTTACTTATTTACTTATTTTAATTATAGATTTTTTTTTTTTTGATCAAGTCCACCCAAATTGCATTACTTATAACTCTTCTCAGACGCGTTATCAACCACCAATACGGTTTATTAAATGTTGAAATGATCAAACCAATTCAATAAATTCCCCAATATTCGAAATAAATGTACAATCATTTCCAAATATTGTCACACTATTTATCTTGAGGTATTGAATGAAGCATATTGTTGGTATTGTATTTAGTGCAGTAAGAATTGTCTTCATTTCAGTGTATTTACTTTGGATTAGTAAAGAAGTATTTTATAGCTACTATAGCTATAGGAAGCCAAAGTGATGTGTTGAACCAGCTCATCAAAAATCCAAACTTATTCGGGTTACAACAATGAGTTCATTTTATCTCGGCATCATTTTCAAAGTCTGCCATCAGTTCTAGTGCGGGAAAAGAGCAACACTAAACATGAACCGCCTGCCGTGGAACTTGGTAGAACCACAAGCCCAGTGTTTTCTAGTGACGATGTGACATTGTTCTTTTCAGATAAAGACTATGAGAATGCAATCAAGTACTACTCGGAGGCCTTGGAGGCCAACCCTACCAATGCCGTCTACTACAGCAACCGAAGCCTGGCGTACCTGCGCACAGAGTGCTACGGCTACGCCCTGGCTGATGCCACGAGGGCCTTGGAGATAGACAAGAACTACATCAAGGGGTACTACCGCCGCGCCACCTCCAACATGGCCCTGGGCAAGTTCAAGGCAGCGCTTAAGGATTACGAGACGGTGAGAAAGCATGGCGTCTTCGACTGTTAGTAGCTGCCCACTCTGAACCTAGAATGTACGAGAAAGGAAATGTTGAAATGTGATTTTCTCAAAGAAGAGATCTGCAGCTCCATCTGTTGACCCGTCGGCTCGAGTGAGGCTGCTCATGTTGCTTTAACGGCCTGGAATCAGGATTATCCTTTAATCCAGACATGAAGCCAATTAGATCCAGTTTGAAGGCACTCACACCACAGCTAATGTGGTGTCTATTGTTGTTGGGGCTGTAAGCAATATAAACATACTGTGGCTTTGGCAGCAAAGACCTCTGACAGCTTGTTGCACAAACTGGACCAAGCACCATGGCAACATAAAATGAGAGTTAATCCTGATGAAGCTACGAGAGGTTGCATCTAGATTTACGTGTATTAATAGATGCATCGGGCAGAACATTGTCTCAGTCTGAATAGTTTAAATACTTCTTATCCAGTATAAACTGCAGAATTGAAACCGTAACACACTTTTAATACCCATTTACATCCTCCAAGGTCTTTTTCGTCAATTTCTCGACGGCTTCCTTGATGCCGGTTGATGAGTAACCAGCATTGATTTATTTGTTCTGACGATAGGTAGTGAGGGTTCGACCAAATGACAAGGATGCGAGGATGAAGTATCAGGAATGTAACAAGATTGTGAAACGGAAGGCGTTCGAGAGAGCCATCGCCAGCGATGAGATCAAGAAATCTGTTGTGGACTCCCTGGACATCGAAAGCATGAGTAAGTCTCCCGTGTTATTGAACAAAAGTGTAAAATTTTATATATATATATATATATATATATATATATATATATATATATCTGTAATCGTAATGTGCTGTAAGACGGAGGCTAATGATAACAAAATGCACCTCTTAATATACTTGTAATATATATCAGAAGTGTGTCTTGTGTTGCAGCGATTGAGGATGACTACGACGGCCCCCAGCTGGAGGACGGGAATGTGACGCTGAAGTTCATGAGGGAGATGATGGATTGGTTCAAAGACCAGAAGAAGCTGCACAGAAAGTGTGCTTATCAGGTCACCATGTTTGTTTCTATGAAACACACCGACTGAAGGTAACTTAAATGTACCAACAGGCATTGAACCTTTTTTTTTGAACTCTTTCAGATTTTGGTGCAAGTTAAAGACCTTCTATCGAAACTACCGAGTCTTATTGAGATCACATTAAAAGAGGTGAGGACTGCAGGTATTCACTGGTGAAGTTGCTGCTTATGACCAATGAGAGTGCAGCAGTAGGTTTATCTTCTTGATCAGCTCATAATAGCACTGCAGGAGTAAATACGACACAATGTGTTTGTTCGTGGTTGTTTACGGTTATCTTTTGGGGATTCTATTTAATGTGTTTTGTTTCTATTTGCCACAGACAGAAAAATTAACAATTTGTGGTGACACACATGGACAGTACTACGATCTCCTCAACATCTTCCAGTTGAACGGCTTACCATCAGAGACCAACCCCTATGTATCCTTTACTTTCACACTGTTCACGCTGTCTTCCTCCTCGTTTGTACCATTCTGTGTCTGAAGGCCTTTACACACCGGGGGTGGGGTTTTTTCTTTTTTTCGTGCGATTCATTTGCAGTTAAATAGATTTTTTTTAAACTGTTGTTTTCGTCACAAATACTTGAACACATAATCCGATTATAACGTGGCAAAAAAGCTTTTTTTGGCAACAAGGTGGATTTTTTTTGAGCTTTCACACCACACAGAAAGACATCAACCAATCACGTTGTGCAGAATGGGTTGAGTTGCGCTTCTATTTATGAAACAACAAATCTAAGGCTCAAACTTTATTACTCCTGTCAACCTTGACAAAGGCAGCACAGACCAGGTTCACTCCTTCTGTGCATTTAGCTTTTGGTTTCTCTTATTTGTTACGTTCCCGGTGTGTAAAGGCCTTCAAACAATGGCTAAAAGCCTCAAAACTTGTGCGTCACGTTGCTTAACCCCAGAATTCAGCTGTTCAATGGCGACTTCGTCGATCGCGGCTCTTTCTCTCTTGAGGTCATTCTTACCCTCTTTGGCTTCAAGCTGCTCTTCCCCGACAACTTCTTCTTGCTCAGAGGTGAGAGCGCCCACACTGTGCCTGTGCATGAGTCTGTGGATGCCTGTGTGCTGTATAACATGTTGTATTATATGTCACACTCTATACAGCACAACACTGAAATTCATTTATTAGCCTTTTCTGTCATCACAATTCATTTGGTTTCTACTGTTACATTACAGACTTTTATATTACGGTATAAAATTGTTTAATCATTATTTTTACATGCAGGTAACCATGAGACAGACAACATGAACCAGATGTATGGATTTGAAGGGGAGGTGAAAGCCAAGTACACAGCCCAGATGTTCCAGCTGTTCAGCGAGGTCTTCCAGTGGCTGCCTCTTGCACAGTGTATGAACAGCAAAGTACTGGTAAGCAGTGTTCACCGGCTCCAGTTTCTGTTTGGTACAACATTCTGTAGCCGGTGGAGACAGTGTTGTTTTTATCTGCCAATTTAATTGTTCGTAATTGTAGGTGTGGCCACTGTGCTTCAAGTGGCAGTAGAGCCGGGGCAGAGTAAAATTATTCAAACTGGTTTGACGTGAAGCCACAAGACCCGACCGGTCTAACATATCTCACCACTAGGTGTCGCACTTGACTCGGCAGCTCCTCCACCAAAAGTCAAGAGAAGCAGCGTGGCATTACAATGAGAATAGCAGGTCCACCTTAAGTGAGCATTTATCCAAAGACAAACTGTACACACACTGCACTGATATGTTCACAGCTGTAACATTACTGCTTACTTCATGCTCATCATCAGTCACAAGCCTGCTCCCTCTCTCTCAACCCCACACTTGCTAACATTACGAGCCGCCAAACTTGCAAAACACTGGCTGGCTGAAACCTTTCTTTTCTCATCACCCCGAAAAACACAACAACTTTATAGTAAACAAACAATTAAACCTCACCCCCCCCCCCCCCCCTCCCAGCTCTACTTCAATTTGATCTCCTTCATGTTTCTGGCCACAGCAGTAAATTGCACATCGCCCGTCAGACATAATTGGCTCCTCTGTTAGTCCATAATATCTGACACATGTGACGTATAACATCAACCAGGGCCCACAGCATCACGTGCTAAATCCAGCTTGTATTGAACATTGTATTGTACACCAGACCAGCAAAACTGACTCTTAAGTCAGTTAGTGTAGCTGGGCATGTGTGGAACGCGTCCTCCCAAGTGGGCAGTGTAAACAGAACTACGTCCACTGGGAGTTTAACCGAGGCTTAACAAGACTCGTCTTTGCTTTTTTCCTGTTTATCCCGGAGAGATGCGTCATATTCACATAGTAATTTACAGTCGGTGTGTTTGATTGCTTGTATAGAAAAACAGCCATAGTTTACCCAGAATGCACCGAAATGAAAAGAGCGAGCATAGGCAACACTTGCGCTCTGCTCAGTAGACGGTGTGGCCCGAGCTTAATAAGATTCTCCACCTCAGGTTATGCACGGTGGACTCTTCAGTGAAGACGGTGTCACATTGGATGACCTCAGGAAGATTGAGAGGAACAGACAGCCTCCAGACTCAGGTAGGCTCCGACTCCAAATGCACCCTCTGTCTCCAAGGAAGCATCTCTAGAGAAAATGACCAGAACGCTTTCCTCCGCTCTCCCACAGGTCCCATGTGTGACCTCCTCTGGTCGGATCCACAGCCTCAGGTCAGTTCCCACCCACCTAATAGCTCATTATGAATCCAGTGGTTTGTGTGTTAGAGCAACATTCAGTCCGCTTCCAACTGGATTAAGAATTAATTTCTCTTTCTCTCTCTGTCATGCAGAACGGGCGGTCAGTCAGCAAGCGAGGAGTGAGTTGTCAGTTCGGGCCAGATGTGACGGAGCGCTTCCTGGAGCAGAACAAGCTGGACTTCGTTGTGCGTAGTCACGAGGTCAAAGCTGAGGGCTACGAGGTCACTCACTCAGGGAAGTGCATCACCGTGTTCTCAGCACCCAACTACTGGTACGAAATGATGCCGGCTAACTTTAAGAGTGTTGAGTCAGCTGTTACATACGCTGTTTACTTTCAATGCTGCGTGTTGTATTCTTGTCTTCCTCCAGTGATCAGATGGGAAACAAAGGAGCTTATATCCACCTCAGGGGATCAGACCTTAAGCCAGAATTTCACCAGTTCACTGCCGTGGTCAGTATCCTGTACTCTAATTTAGTGTTGTCACAATACCACAATGATGACTTTGATACGATGCCCTGCGTCATCATCTCGATACAGAAACGATACCACCAAACCTAAAAACATCTGGAGAAGCACGAGTTGTGCAGATACAGACACCAGCTCAGAGCGGGACTGTGCCGATGGCTAACAGTTCATGACCCGCTTTCATTTTTCGTATCACATTTTTGAGTCGCACAACAAATCAACAGTAAAAAGGGAGCAGATGTAACTTTTAGAGATCCACTGATCACGTTCGCTGATACCGATTGCAGATCGTGGATGAGCCATATCGGATAATACAGATTGTGTTTGTTGTCCTGAAAAATAATTTTAACCGCACCAAAGTTATATTTTGTTATTGTCATATAAAGCGGTCACTTGCAGAAAAACACGCAGTTCAAATGATAAGGAAATAAATTATTTTCTTTTTTACATTTTCTTCGATTAGAAACAATTATTGGCAATAAGTTTTATTTATGTATTATAAACTTCATAAGCTTGTTAGGAAGCTAAACGGATCATAATTCCATATCTAATGTCTATTTTATATAGCTGTGAAAACATCTCCTTCAAATAACTATTTATTCAAGTTTCTCACCAAAAACTACATTTTTCAAGATTACATTTGAACACATGATAATTTTACCGGGTTAAAGACAAAAACTACTCAAATATCTGCTAAAAACACATGTTTGACGTGTAGTTTGCAAAAGCATATTAAAGATTTAATTTGGTCCTGGTGTAACGTTTGTCTCCTTCACAGCCTCATCCGAATGTCAAGCCCATGGCGTATGCCAACACGCTAATGCAGATGGGGATGATGTAGAGGCCGCGCCAAACCGTCTGTGACACCGACGACCCTCCCGTCTGACCTGAACCATCCCAGCCACCTCACTCCCTACAGTGCTCGGACATGCTCATGCTTAGCCTAAGGGATCCCTCTCCCCGACCAAACTTCCACTAGTTGTGTACAGGAAACACGTGGTGTAGTTCAGATGGGAAGAGATCACTTCCACCCAGTCCAGAACTGGGTACGTTCTTTCATGTTATCGGTTAAAACTGGAAAAAAAAAAAAGAGAAAAAAAACTCCATTCCCGTTGTCCATTGTGTTCACATTGTGATCATGTGTTCCATCACCGGGTAAAGACACCAACCCTTCAGATGAGTCTCCTTGGAGCTGCTTGGTTTTTAGAATATTTGATGTACTCAGCAGATGGGATCAAATAGCTGGTATGTACCAAAGATCAGTAATGAAAATGATTGTTCGGTTTTTGCAAGGAGCGTCTTGTGACTCTGAAAGCTAGTATTGTACTGTTGGCCCGTGTACACAGCTTGGAGCGTTGTAAACTGGGTGAAGAGCAGCATGTCTATCAGTGTTTCTCAAACTCTCCTACAGTATGTCCGTTTATTTTGTTTTGTTTTACAGGAATACAAAAAAACCTATGATCCCAGCCCCGGAAAAAAATCTACAGATTGTGTCGGGGGGGGGGCACTCATAAAGGTGCTGTTTGCCATTAGTGGTGTATGTAGTTGGTTGTCATGTAGCTGGTAACATTTAATTTGCACTGCTTCCTGTTGAGGAAGATACCGCTGCTCTCCATGTTTTTCATCCTCGACCGTCACCCGGCAGCTCCCGCACAGTCTACTCTCCGAACTAGCTTTGGCGTTAGGCAAACACCGATGGCACTCGAGTCTCCCTGACACACACGTTCAATTACGTGGACTCCTTCCGTACACAAACGTCCAAACTGCAATTCTGTCTCGAAGCGCACAGCTGCATTGTCCAATGGCCCTCAACTTTTTAGATAATGAAATACACTGACGTGTATGTATATATACTGTATCATTTAAAGATTCCGTGTAATGTTTGGGGAAAAAATATTGAATAAAAAAACCTAGTCCGGTGATTTTAGAAACAAGCTGGTATCTTTATTTATTGTCTGTCTTTCTATTCTGAGTGAATAGAATCCCACTGCAGCTTTTTAGGAAGACCTGTCCATGCGTAGGTTGAGACAAATGATGAAGGTTAGGCATGGACCTCGAGTAGACAAGGTCAGGACGTAGGACCTGAACAAATCACATTACTGGTACCTCAGCCAGCATGGACTGTAGGCCAATGCTAGTGCATGAATGCTACGTAGGGCGGGTCTTCACAAGAAAATCTGGGATTCAAAGCTATGAAGATGATTGAAGTAATCTAGTACATTAACTCAAGCACTGTACAATTTCGAGGTGCTTGTACTTGAGTATTAACTATTTTACTGCTACTTCATACATCTACTCCACTACATCTCAGAGGGAAATATATTGTACTTTTTACTCCACTCCATTTATTTAATAACTAAAGTTACCTGGCAGATTTAGGTTAATAACACATGAAAATAATAGATAAATGTGGATGTATTTTTGTTTCTTTGCTAGTTTTACTAAAGTAAAAGATTCGGAGTACCAACACCGTATTTTACTGTAGCGTTCATAAACAGTGAAGTCAGTGCCCGATCCCTTCCGACTGCTCGATCCGTTCTGCGCATATGCGGGAACGCCTACCCAGAAAGCCTGCAGAAAGACCCGCCCCCTACTCTGCCTCTGATTGGCTACTTGCTGCTTAACCTTAGCCTAGCTATGATGCTAACCGGTGCTTCGAACTAACGCTAGATAAGCCGGGTAGCAGCGACTCTTCCACGGCAGCTCACGTTTCTGTTCCCATAGTCTGAAGAGAGGCCACCCGGTCTGAAGAATGGTTGTTTGTATCTTTACGAACCCTCTTTTTAAAATGTATTTGACGTCTCATTTATTTGACGTCACGACTTCCAACAGCTGATCGTCAGTCGTCAACTATGCGCCACGAGTTGACAACACACACAGCACGAGTTTCACCTTGTTGTGAACGTCGTTGGACACGAAGACAGTCAGCCTCGAACAACACCAGCGACCTGAGATGCCAAAATATTGTTCTGCCCCAAACTGTAAGAATGACTCCGGCAGCGACAGGAAGAGCTTCTACAAGTAAGCGGCTTAAACGTGTCTTCTAGCTGTTAGTCCATGTTAGCTGTGGTGCTGGTGGAGGCGTCGTCTCTGACTTTAAGGGACGTGTTCCTACCTTTCACCACGTACATGCTTCCTACTTATTTTAATTAATCACTGTAGTTATTAAGTATCAACTTTTTTTTTTTGTTTACGTTTTTTTTTTTAATAAACTCTTAAGTTAACGTCTTTTGTTTTGACCTTTGAGTCCTGATTGAATCGTGTTTTTAATCTGGTGGTGACTAAAGATATGTTTTACGTGTAAGTTCTGGACATGTGCTCTTTGGTTATATTTAGTAATTAGAATGTATCGTGTTTTTACCTACGGACGCAAATACACAAACAAGTAAAATACACACCTAAATGTGTATTTTGGAGGTTTTCTTTCCACTAACTCTTTCCACGTGAAAGAAGGCCCAAACCTTAAAATGAGCCAGTGCATGAAAACCCAAAGTTTGTGCCTCACGTTAATCCTGGAGCTCATGATTCACACAGTATGCAGTGGTAGAAGAAGCACTCAGATCCTTAACTTTAGTAGAAGTAGAAACACCCAAGTCTGTAAATACTCCATGAGATGTAAAAGTACAAGTATTATCAGTAAAATGTACTAATCATATAAAAAGTACTCATCATTTAGAATACATGTCTGTTGATGTTCCTCAATGTGGAGCCAATTTTAAATTCGGTGTGTACTTATGGGTAGATTAGTAGGAAAGTACTACATGATATCATCTAAGCACATGCATGTGTTTTGTATGTAAAAACGGTCAAATAAAAGTAGAGTATCAGTATAAAGTTGCATAAAATGGAAATACTCATGTACAGTACATGTCAAAATTGTACTCATAAAGACAATACTTGAAAACGGTGACCAGGAGAACATCATTACAAAGCAACACGCTTTGACATATTTGACAGTGTCATTTCAGAAGTTGTCTCTATTATTCTGTCTACCTCACACGCATAATATTACCTTCAATATGAATGTAATTGCGTACAGCACCACCACTAAGTACGGCTTCCCATACTGCAGGTGTTGGGTTGCATTACACAGTATACAGAGTGGCACAAGCCAAAACGTGCCGAGTCCACAGCGTCTGATTTTCAGCTTAGGGAGGCAGTTTTGAGACTTTGGAACAAGCTCAGTCTTATGATGTATTGTTGGGCACCGACAACGTCGGGCCAGCGAAGGCCCTATTAAAGCTGTAGCGTTTCTTCTTCTTCTGCCAAATAAATTGGCTTTATCATGTTGGCATGCATAGCAGGACTGGTGAAAAGTGTGATATAGAGGTGCGAGGGCTCGTTCCTCGCTGCTCGTTTGTTTTTTGGTTCTAAACATTTCACAACATTTCCCTTGAAGGAGCCCAGGTGTTGTCCAGTGTCTCACATCCGTAAGTCTTCATTGTGCTCCAGGTTCCCTCTCCAGGACCCGGTCCGGCTGCAGCAGTGGCTGAGCAACATGCGGCGCGGCAACTGGACTCCCTCTCGGCACCAGTATATTTGCCACGAGCATTTTGTGCCGTCGTGCTTCAAGGTGCGATGGGGGATCCGTTACCTCGAGAGCGACGCTGTGCCCACAGTGTTCCAGGAGGCTGAGGTAAAACACGGTCATGATCGGGCTGAATAGGATTTCATGTTCAGGAAGCTGGTATTTGTTCCTTAACATTTGTACCATTTTAAAAGTGTTTTGATTTATTTATGGCCTGGAAATTAACCAGAGCAGGCAGCGAAGGGGATAGAGTGAACATAAAGTTTATTTAAAAAGATTTGATGATTACACAGAGGTGCTCCTTGACAGCTTCCTGTAATTCTCATATTACAAAATGATTCAATCATCCCGTCAGGCGATATCATTCATTTCGTTTGATATCTCGATATATATAACATAGCATGTTTTCTGGTAGTTCAATAGTCTACATGAAATAACCACGTGGCCTATTTTTCTTTACCCCAATAAGAATTAAATACTTAAAGTACAGAGTATGTTCTCATTTAATTAAGAACTTTAGTGCAAAATAAACTTAAATTTTAAGTGAAATTACAGAGAAATTAAATCAGATTATTAAGCATTAGTGGAAATGCTTAATAATCTGATTAAAGCAATAATTTGATTTATTTTCCCATTAGCAGAATTCTTATCAATTAAAACTTAAATTTAGCCGACATAATTTTGTATCACAATATTTCGATATATGATTTCTTCACAATACAATTCCATTGAAAGACAATAAATCATATTCAGTTATCGCCCAGCCCTGATTGTGAGAAGATAGAAATCAATGAAAGTATATATTTTTTTTAAACATTTGCTTGGCACTTAAACAAGCAGATCTGCATATGTATTGACTGAATTGATTATCTGGGGTATTCAAAGACTTACTGGGCTTTTGGCCAATACTGCTCAGATATCTGGTGTCAGTCAGAAAGTCTTATCTTAGCAACACTACAGCTAAACTGTAACCACTGTCCTGTTGCTAAACACACACTCCTTCTTTCTAGAAACGGAAAGCGGCGGATCCCAGCGAGAGGACGCCGAAGCGGCTTCGCGCCACCGGCGACCAAAGCGAAACGGAGTCAGGTGACGGGACGCTGGCTGTCGACGCCGTGGAGACGGAAAGCGAAGCGACGCACACCGTGCACCTGTACGAGATCACCGTGGACCCATCGCAGCAGGGAGAAACCGGCCGGCTGGATGCGAGTGATGCCGGGGAATCTGACCTGGCGTCAGTGATGGAGATCAAAACGGGGCAGAGTTTCCCTTTTACTTTACTCCAGACGGTTAATGCTCTGAGTAACAGCGGGGAGGTGGTCGTGATGTCCGAGTGCCCCGCCGGCGAGGGCCAGGATGAGCTTCTGAACGGAATCACCGCTGCCATCTTCACTCAGGGCCACGGGCTGGTGAGTGAAGACGTGAGCAGCGCCGCGGAGGAGCCCTCGGACCCCCGCGAAACACAAGTCATCACCTACTTCGAGACCATCCCGAATGTTTTCCCCGGTGAGGCCGCCGCCCAGCTCAGCGTGTGCCCGGACACGGTGCTGTCGTCCGCTCTGAGCTCCAAGCCCATCACGTCCACTCTGCCCATAGTGTCCAAGCACACGCCGCCCTCCCCGACGTCCCTGGTCCTCACCGTGGAAAGGCTGGACACGGACGAGGGAGAGGGGGACGACGGCACGTGGGAGGAGGGCGACGGCGTGGAGCTCCTGGATCGCCAGCTGGAGGAGCACTGGTGAGCACCGACCCTCACGTTTCGGAGTGAAGTTGGCAAGTCTCATTATAAACGCTTTTGCAACGCTTCTCTCCCTCTCTCGCAGCTACCACAAGAGCAGTCTGAGCAAGGAGCAGCTGGAGGCGATCGTGGCCGAGCTGCAGAAGAAGGTGAAAGTGCTGCAGCAGCGCCACCGCCGCCACCTGGAGAAGCTGCTGGGCCTGGAGAGCACGGTGAGCCAGCTGAGGCAAAGCAACCTGCTGAACGAGGAGCGCCTGCAGCTGCTGGAGCGGGTGAGGAGCGAACCAGTGTTCACACGCAATGAGTCCAGATTCACTCCAAAATTAAAAACTCGTCGCTGCTCTCGGGTTTCTTTTAGTTGTAGGTTTCATCGGGACGCTCCGTTAAACATGCTCTTTGCATTCACTCTTTGTTGTCCCCTCATTGTCAGGCTTACATACAGACCAGCGCAGCGGTGTCGGATGCCGGGGGGACCGTGACCATCATCTACGAAGAGGACGATGCTGCGTACTTGTACACTCCGCTGATCACCGCCAACGAGAAGCTGTGAGACTGACCGTCTGCCGCCCTCGGGGCCAGTCAGGGCCCATGTCGTTGAAAACAAAACGCTACCTAGTTTTTTTTTTTTTTTGTTTTTTTTTTGTCTCCTAACAAATTGTATGAAACGTGTTGTCGGATCTGCTGTGAGCTTTGCACAGATATGGATGAGTAATATGGGACGGTGTTGAATGTGTTCTCTACGCCTCCCCTCCTTCCTCCAACCACTTTTTGTTTGACTTGTAACGTATTTTTTGTTTGTGATGATAAACATATCCAATTAAAAAATAACTTTCATTGAGGTTTGTGCTTCACTTCTACAGTTTATGTACATTTTAGCTTTCAAAAAAGACCCAAAGATTACACAACCAACTCATGGAAGTTTAAGCACCTATTTTCATGTAGCATGTAGCTTTGATTGAACAGTGATCGAGAGGAGCTGATTCAAACAGAACCATGTGTTACAGTAGTGATTAAGACTGATCATTTATTCTACATAGTATATTTTGATTCAGATCTAAGTAACCCAAAGGACATCAAAGGGAAACAATGTTTGACAGAAAGCACCATGACTGATTAAATCTCACAGGTTTACTGTTTAACTCTGCAGAGTAAACCTGGATCAGAGGGTTTTACTTCTATCAATGTAACAGACATGAAGTAGTTCTCTTTTTTACTCAGCCAAATGATCCAGATGCATACCCTAAGATGTACATTCCAACCAATCACTGGGGGGCGAGACAGTAAATCGCCCTTTTTCTGCATTTTTAGTCTATTTTCCTCGTTTTCTGGCATTTTTTTACTAAGTCCGACAGACTTTATGCAATCGACTTCAGATTTGGTCAGGATGAACTACAGGCTACGTCCCACACATCCACTCACTGACCTCACTGCCATCCACATCTCATCTGTTTTGCTTTTGAATTTCTGTTTGTAATAAATCAGTTAATTTAACTGCATTTCACTGATGAGATCAGTTCCAGTTTTTAAATAAAAGTGCAACTTGTATGCATTAGATATGACCAGCAAAGAACATCATCCTCACACTTATTTTAAACTATACAATGTTTTCTTTCACTTCAGTCAGTGTCATTTTGATTTAGCAAATGAATATGATTCTGCATTAATGCATGACATAAACTGATGAGTTGCTGCTGTTTTTTATCATGCTTTTATTAGTCTACACTTAAAGTCAGTTGCTGGATGAAGCCTAAAAGTTTTAGAATGGTGCTTCAAATGCAGCTTGGCTCAACGGGCGCGCTCGAGTGTCCCGCATGCAGGAAAACAACAATGCGCATGTCCAACACCTTGGCAAAGGAAGCGGGGGGCACAAATTAGATGCCACGTGCGACTGATTACCTGTCGCCCAGCTGCAAATTGTTTGGCTGATTGCTCGTAGATGGCAGGAGTTGGCAGAGAGAAGATAGTAACTTCGGTCGCCATAAACAATGTGGATTGTGAAAGTTTCATTCAGAAGAAAAAGCTGAGGTTAAACACCATGGTGCCCACCAGTGTTGTTATTAACCAAACCTCTAGTATAAATCAGCAGATTTAACGTGAAAGAACGGGGAAAAAATGGCTAACTGCTGGCTTGCCAAAGAAGACAGGTTTTTGCTTCACGTGTGTGTAATTCGGAATGTTATCTGGTCAAGAACAGACTTTAAGGACCTCGAACATCTTTCTGAGAGGGTTATTAAACATAGCAGTGGGTCTACAGTCAAAAGTGGGCAAACACAGCTATCGCTACCTAAACTGACACACACTGGGGGTTGAGCTGATAACAGGTATAGGCATGCTCAGTAGGTTTATCACCTTTTTGTTTTTTGTGTGTATCTTGTGGGAAATGTGAAAAGGCTCCTTATGTCAAATTGTAAAGTTGTGTAATTTTCTGGTTTTGCATTTGTGCAAAGTAGTTTATCTGCATTTTTCTAACCGTGTAAAACTTGTTCGGTGTCTGCTGGTTGTGTCAAAAAGCTTGTCTCTGTGGGTATTCATTTATTTCTTCGAGTTATTGTGTTTTCTTGGCTCTAGAGGCCAATGCAGCTTTAGGAAAAAGCACTCAATAAAAACGAGTTTATTTGAAAACACTATACATCTATTTTAATTGAATAAAGTAATTAGTTGATATTCTAAATTATAATTCTGTAACTATTCTTCTCTAATCAAACTTTAAAATAATTTAACTTTAACGCTGAATTAGGTGATTCAAAAAAAAAAAGACATCCATGTAAAACCACAAAATGCTGTTAAATTCTAGGGTAAGTTAAAATTTTCCTGACTGTCAACCATCATCCCCGTAGTATTGGACTGAATTTTAAGTTTTGATATTGTAAAAATTGACTTGACTGTCTGGTAAGGTAAGAGATATGATGCAAATTGTGGTCTCCAGTGTCAAAGACTGGACATGATGTGCCGCATGCAGGGACCGGTGTAAAAACACAATGTAAGAACTCTTTTCCTCTTTTTTGTGTTCCCATTGATTTCTGGGATTCAACAATGTTTTCTTATTTTTATTCAGCAGTACCTCAATTTCACTGCTGCTGAAGTTTTATTTATTTTTTCTTATTCCAGCCTTTTCTTGGTGGCATCTCTCCATATCTTGTTTGCACATGACACAACACCTGCCCTTATATAGTCTTAAGGTCGGCGTTGCCTATGCTAATGATCAACAATCAGCCACACACCTTAAATTTATGATCAACTGTTCATCATACAGCACATCTGGTTAGGGGCAGAAGAACGTTTGTTGCGTCTCGAGTTGACTTCCATTATTACATTTTTTTGTGAGAGAAATTTAGGTGAAGGTTGTCTGATTGAACGGAGCAGATAAACACAGGCTGTAGCAACTAGAACCCCAGTGCTGCTGTCTAACTTGTGTAACAGCAGCTAAGTTTTACACAACCAGTGACAAAGGTCTAACTAATCTACAGTGGGCGTTCCTAATCCCTTTGAGGTTTGCGTACGTCTACACACCTAAAAGCTGAAAGATTTGTGTGCTAGTAAGACTTTACTATACAGTATGTAGTGTACATACTGTGAAGTCTGGTACTTGAACTGTACTGCATCTACATTTTTCAGGTTTCACACGTTCCACATGGGTACAGTGTTGAACAATGATTCGGGACTTTAGTTGTGCATGGAATGGAAATACAAAACATTTAAGAACAGAACCAAAACCCTTTCAATCTCGTGCAGATTTGACCGGTTTCTGTTTATAAAATTATATACGTAATTACCTGCAGTTTATCCCATTCACATACATTTCAATACATTTCTTTAAAAAAAGGCAGTTTAGTTATATCTTGTATTATTGCACAAGATTCATTGTGCAGCATATAACAGAGCACCAATAACAGCCAATGTAGGGTTTTCTTTCATTACACTGCTGTGACTGAAGAATCCTCTTGTAGGTCTTTAGTATGACCACTTGAGGGCGGCAGAATATTTTTCCTTGCTATTTCCTTTGGACAAAACACAGGTACAGTGCCATGCTCATTCTTTTTATTCCACTTCTGTTCCAATACATCAAGAAATTATGAAAAACATTATGCTTTCATGAAAAATGTTTAATCAGACTTCTCCTTTTTAAATGAACACCCTCAAATCTGACAGAGATTTTTTTTTTTTAATGACCTCCACCTGACAGTGTCTGATCTTTGCACGGTGTTTGGTTTGATGGTACCAGCATCCATTTCATTTTGTCAAGTGCCCTTGCTCAACTCCTCTCGGCCGGAAGCTGTTCAGTGAGCGGAGAATGTTACACACTCCCACCCACTTTTTTCCAAATGTGCTGCTGCTGTCACCTCAAAGTTTAATTAACCTGATTTAATTGCTGCTGCAAAACTGGAACGTGATGAGAGTGAGTGTTTCTTATCTCTGCTCAGCGGGGAGGCACTGTGCTGGAATGTAAGGGAGGGACCTACTCTTCTCATCTGACCTGGAACTTTATCAGCAGGTACATTTGAGGGTACGTAGGCCCAAACAATGAGCTAATATAGATGTTCCACTGAAATACATAAAGTGATTTGTCCAGTACAGCCTGACCCAAGATATCCTTTGGCTCACATTCTTGTGTACCTTCTGCTCACCATCCTTCCTTAACTTCCTCATTTCATTTTGGCACAGAAGAAAAAAGGGAGGAAATATACATTTGAGAGAATCCTAATCACGTTTTATTTCCCCGCCGATACTAATTACCAAACACTGATGATCCGTATTCCCCGATACTTTGTTGATTGATTACAGCAGCTGGTCTACAAGGCTCCAGAATATAGAGCAATGTAGAGGACGAAACATTTTAGTATTGAAATCTGGTCTCAGCGTGAACGTTCAATCAACGTCTATAAATAGTGAGCGAAAAAAACGTTCACTTTTGAACCAATTTTGAACGTCTTTTCAACGGTGGGCATAGACGTCTTTTAAACGGAAAAATGCTCCCTGGGTTTCCTTGCTGAGGAGTTGGCAACACTGCCCTGCGCACTCGTCTCACAGCCGGCCGCACATTGAGACCAATGCTCTTCATCCAGCTCGGAGGACGGCCCGTTTTGATTAAATTAAGGTTGTAGCTTGTTGTCTACCTCACTACGTTTACATAGAGGTGTAGTTTGTATTTTAACAATGTTTCGCTCACGATTTATTGAACCGGGAAGTCCGAAACTTTGAATATCTTTCGAACTTTACCTAAATTGGCCCATGCTGCTGTAGCTACCAGCCAACAAGCTAACAATACAAGCTACCAGCCTCCCCCACATTGTGAGCAGCATAAAATGATACTAATGGTGCTAATTTCTGTTTGCAATATTGGAATCCAGTAGTTCAAGTACTTACAGAGTAGCGTTAGCGTGAAGCCTAACATTTATTCCGTCAGCTCGTTTATTTCACTCCGCAAGTCCCGTGCTGTGTTTCCAGAAACAGTGCGTGTTCCAGCAGTAAACACATTCATGTATTTTACATGAATGTACAGACAGAATGTACACTGCTCTCATTACGTTGTCCTGGGAGCTTCTTGTTGACAGCACAGTCTATAGTTCCATTATGATGACGTTTTATATGAAACATTAAGTCCGTTGAAATCATGTCTTCTTCGACTTTGGAGAAATACGTTCAAAGTAACCAATATCGTGTCCCATTCAACCTACAACTGAACAAACCATCAATATTATAAAACCAGAAATCAACGTTGAAATGCGGGTTGGTGCTCGCGAGGTAGCGTTACAGGAGCGGAGGTGGAGGTCATCACACAGGGATTTGAGGCAATTTAAAGGACATTTTAAATCTGTTTAAAACAGGATTTTTTTATTTTTATGTATCGATGGTAGTCGCGAACATATCGATACACTATCGTTTAAAAAAATGTCGCGATAGCTATATTGATATTTTGGCATAAGCGGATAGAAAATGTTCAAATCTTCAAAAATTGCAACGGCGGAAAGTCGACGCCACTGTGTGTCCCAGCAAGCTTTATTGCAGGGCTCTTGTGTTGTATTGTCCTGTAAGTGTGCTTATTTTGTGCACGAGCAAATCTTTGAGATGCAACCAAGTAGCAGATCAGATTTAGAGATTAATCAGCCCTTTGACCTTTTGGCTGTTGTATATCATCAATAATCAGTTTTATGTTTTGTATATCTAGTTGACAGTGACAGAGAATGACTTCCAAAAAATAAAGCAGAATAAACTTCACCTTCACAAGAATTGGGCATTTTTTAGGAGGAAGTAAGCAGATGTGAGTAATTAAAGTATGTGTGTTGATGAAAGTTAAGGGGGGGATCCTGATTTGGAAAATGGGAGTAATTTGGGTGTGTATGGATAACAGTAGATTAAAAAAAACAACTTCCTGATAGGGTTTAGTTCTGCTTTATATTTGCCTTTCAAACACCATAGTAACATGTCCACAGTTGGACAGTACTGTGTAAGAGTACTCTATAATGAGACACAAAGAAGATGCAAGTGTAATAAACAGTATATTACTACAGCTTTTTTACTGCCGATGCAAAAAGCAGCCATCTTGGATTTTGGTCATGGTTGGTGAGGTTAGTATACTTTTGGAGTCAAAAATCTGACTTCAGGTGACGTTCAAGTCATAGACTGTAAATACGAAGTGGACGTAGTTCCCTGGAGTATGGTTTTGAAGCCTAGAGTTTGGTATTTTCGCCGTCACCATCTTGGTTTTTTGCAACCTGAAGTGACATGAGAACGTGGAGCTAAGTACAACCGAATACTGAACAAGATGTATTTAGGCGACCAAAATGTCAAAAATAATTTTCATGAACTAAAACCACACTGTGAAAGAGTTACCGTTGTAAGACGAAAACACAGACAACACTCAAACCGGACAACGCCGTGGTAGCGACCGGTTTATCACAACGTAGCCACTTACTAAAGCATGCCCTGATTTATGGTCTATTTCACTCTAAAGGGACCATCATTTACTAAATGAACATCGTGCTGTATGGAAGAAGACTTTAAACTAGCGATTGAGACTCATGTTTACAATGTTTACTGAGGTGATAAATCAAGTGAGAATTGGGGTCATTTTCATATAGACTGCTCTACTATCAGACTTCCTTTTGAAACCAGAGGAGTCGCCTCCTGATGTACTTCCACATTGGCTTCACTTGTCAGAACCGGAGTTTAAGTAAAGTTAAACTGTCCGACTTCACGGTTAAAATAGATGGCAGCATTATACCGAGTACTGTGCCTCGAAATATAACTCCTTTCAGGAGAGAAAATGTTCTCTAGAAGACTTTGGTCGGACACGGCTCCTGCTGAGAAGGTTTCAAACAGAAAACTTATTATGGTTCTGTAACTTTGATTCCCAGAGAAGCATTCTTATTGAATCAATTCCTTTGTGGGTCTGTTGTGGTTCAGATTTGGATTTCGATAACTTGCTGTTGCAGGTAAGAAACCTCAGGAGTGAATTGCTGTTCCCACTGAGTGGACAGAGTGAGCCTGTGTTATTTTCAGGGAGGGAGGGGGGTTGCTTTCTCTTTCTGACTTCAGGTGCCAGGCAACCTTTCGGCCCTTCACATTCCCCAGTATCGGTCATGTGACCAGAGTTTGGCCAGAGCCAGCAGAGAATGACCAGAGAGACTCTCAGAATGCAGTTTTTTTTTTGTTTTGACAGTCAGCCAGGTTTAGGTATTTGATTAGATTCAGTTCTTCTAGCCTTTAGGAACCTTTGCTTTACTAGGCCTATGTACGCTATATTGTTGGTGGTTGTTTCTTGTCAAAATCTGAAAATCTCACTTGCATTTTACTTACTACCATTTGTAAAAAGGGTGGCTTTGTGTAAGAATCAATGATTAGCTTAACAATGACCAAACATGCCTAAGGCTTTAGACAAGTCACTGGAACAGCACACAGGAAACTGTTCACCAGTAAACACGCTCTGTCATCATGATGCTCTGTTGAAAGAGATCAGTTTATTTGTTCCATATGTTGTTGTTTTGGTTGGTGTTATGTCATTCCCACACAGGCCTGTTTACTGTAGCCAATCATTTGTCATTTAGACAGGATATAAGGAGATTTAAACTAAGAAATTGGGTTTTTCATCAGTCAAAGGCCAATTTGAAAAAATAATCAGACACTATATTAAACAGATGTAGAGATTTTCAAATGTGTTTAATATCAATGTATGTGTGTGTGTATATATATATCTATCATTTTTTTTCAAAAGTAAATAATTGTATCCTGAATGAGTACAGAAATTCAAAGAATTCTGCAATTTTACTAGAATCTTCACACAATAGGCCATATTTTGCATTATATACCTTTGTCAGGACCTACATTGGAGCAATAGATTATCTGATTTACCAAAACAACAAATCAAAAAACTATTTTACCCAAATGTGCAAAAGATATTTTCTCAATTGCCACATTGTTTCAAACACATCCTCGTGAGTCTTGGAAGTAGGAAACCTTTTTGTATTTAGGAATGTAAATGACTAACGAGCTACAGACTGTATGTTACCTACTGATTTGCTCCTGCCTGACCATAATGCACCATGCCCCGACAGTTTTCTCTGCCGAGTATCTATAAAAATGTTGTTGTTTTTTTAAAACGCAAATGTAATCTTCTCGAATAATCATTAGAATTTCAAATGAGCTCTGATCTGTAGTTACTGTCATCATGACCAGATGTCAAGCCGTTTCTTGTCCTTTTGTTCGAGGCGACATTGATATGGGAGTAAGAGGCAACAGTTGGAAAGTAATGTGATATGGCACCAAGGGAACGCTCCTATATTTACTATAAGATGGTCATACATTTTTCACGCAGCTTCTTTTGTCTGGTGTGGCTGCATGTGTTATTGAAACTAGACTGCTGTAAGGCTTGACTCATGTCTATCACGGAACCTGGCTGATTAAATGTGCTAGAGTCTAGATAACCATGCTCTGCTTTTGGTGCATCTCACCATGATGTAAAGTTCACAAAGGTGGCAGGAAAAAAAGGACAGTGGAGGATTGAAGGGAAGCTTGATGTCTCTGGGAAAACCCCCCCGTAGGCTTCAATGGACATCAAGCAAAAAATCCCAACTGCTTTCACAAGGCACTTCTAATTAACAAGTAGATCTTGTTCAGTGGTCAAAAGTAGAAGTCTGTGGTGATGCAGGGCAGCTCCCACAAATTCATAATCATATTTAGAAGTGTGTTGGAAAGAACTATGCAAGCTCAGCCGATAACTCAAGTCTGTGAGGGTAAGAAAACGAATAAATCGTGCCTGTCTGGAATAACTCCACTCCTCTGTGCTCACACTTCTCACCTCCGCCCGCTAACTGATCCTGTGGCTAATTGTTTAGAGCGTGCGTGGTTTAGTTGCCAGTTGCTGGTAACGTAGCCCTGAGGATTGAATGTCGGTGCTCTTACGAAGTCACCTGGTGAGAACGCACTCCGTCATTTACTAACTCGTGCTGAGTGAATGAGCCATTACAAGATCTTGAAAGGAGCGTGATCTTCAGAAGATGCAAATTAAAAAGGAGCTTTATGTTTGAAATGAAACAAGATATGCAGTATCTTAAAAAAGCGGTCATGTTTATTAAAAAAAACAAAAACACTTGTCGGATATATGTACTGCAGCTGTATACAACACACAAAGATCATTACTGTTCTGGATGAACCCAGGTGCTTTTGTGCTCCCTCTGTCCACAATGTAAAGCACTCAAAGTCCTCTGCCACTTCCCCATCCCCAACATTACCACACTGCACTAAAAGCTGCATTCAATAGTCATCATTTGCCTTGACAGTTACAGGTGAATGATACGCTTACTGCAGTATTTACACACAACACCCAATCCCGCTGATGACTCGGTCGCACCATTTAACACATCCAACTCCTCCATCTTCTACACAGCAGTTCCTTTTTATGAAGGTGACACATGAAGCAGTCATGGCAGTTTCTATAAAAAAAAAATATTCAGCCGTAAACATTAAGACGCCAGGACTGTATAAAAAGTATATGATTTTGTATTGATCGTGACATTAACATTTAGCGTGTTGACCTTAAAAAAAGACACTAAGAACATCATTTTCTTTTGAAACATGATTAAAGGAGATTTCCTCTCCAAAGTCCTTTGTGTAGATTTTCAGTCTCTGAAAAGCCGAAGTCAGAGATACCTCAAAGTAAAGGCAAAATCAAACACATCCTTCATTACGGAGTCTCCTTGTCCCCTTGAGCTCTTTTCCTCAGTACACCCTCAGTTTGGTTTGGCGCGCCGGTTTGAGACTCAAGTCATTTTCCTCTTTGATCGTCATTCATACATAGTCTTTCCTTTCCAACCCTGGGCCACCTGCGGACCGTGAGGCAGAGTAAGCCATTCGCGAAGGGTTGTACCTGGTCTCACGCGGCGGGCAGGAGCAGCAGAGCAGTGCACCGCCAAGAATCAGGAGGGCAGCTGCTGCCCAGCCGATGTACAGCGCGGCCCCCAGCTCCCTCCGCTGAGCGTCGGTAAGCAAAGGGTTGTAGAAGTCCCTGATTATAGTGTTGGCCGACCAGGAGACGGGAATCAGCTGCATGACCCCGGCAACGATGAAGAAGACCCCGGAGATGATCATCACCTTGGACTTGAACGCCTCGTCGTCAATGCAGTTGGTGCACTTGGCCCCGGCGATGGCGATAAGCATTGCCAGGATGGCTAACAGGATGGAGATGACGGTGAGGGCGCGGGCAGCCTGGAGGTCCTGGGAGAGGGCGAGCATGGAATCGTAGACCTTACACTGCATCTGGCCCGTGCTCTGGACCACGCAGGTCATCCACAGGCCCTCCCAGATGATCTGAGCGGTCACGATGTTGCTGCCGATGAAGGCCGTCACCCTCCACATGGGGAGGGCGCACGCCAAAATGGCAATAATCCATCCCAAAATGCACAGGGCGATGCCTATCAACTCCAGCCCTACAGACATACTGAAACGTCTTCCTCTTCTGCTGCTGAATGTGTGTCACACCTGAGAGGAGATCACAGAAAAAAGAAATCAACCAGAGACCCAACTAGTAATTAAATTAATTTCAGGCCTCTCATCTGTGAGTGTGTGATGTTCTGTTGCCTCAGCTTCACCAGTATCCTTTATAAGGCAGATCAGGTGGAGGGGAGGAGCCCTTGAAGGAGTTGACATCACCAAAGGGGGAGGAAGGACCTGGACACACTCTGCTATCAGCTTACATGGCCAGCTTCACAATGGGCCTGGCCACAAAGAGGCCTTTCACAGCTGAAAGGGCATGCAACTGCTACATGTGTTATTATAACCAAAGAAACAGTTCCAAGTGGGATTAAGGCTTAATGTATGACTCGAAATAAAAGCATTCTATTAGATTTCATGGAGAGATGCAAGAATAAAAAAAGACTGGTTCATCTTTGTTGTGAAACACTTTTCTTTGTCATCATGCTGACAAGGCAATGCATTCAATGATCACTTAAAAAGTCTTGAGCAACTCGTAGATCACTTCCTCAAAATTAGTCCAGATTGTCTCTGCAGGTCTGATGATGATGCTTTTAAAAGAAATGGCTAATCAATGAAGAATGGCTGACCTGCGTTCACCAGTGACACCCTCCTAACCTTTTTATCAGCAGTTCAGGATGTAAAAAGAAACTTCTTGCTTTCAGCTTGCAGTTTATTTTAGAAAGCAAACAAAGAGGTATTAAAAAGCTTAAAAAGCTGTCATATGACCAATAGGGCTGGACCACAATATTTATATTTAGATACAGGAAACTGAGTGCTCTGAGAAACAACACTGTTCTCTTGGCGGCCGCATACGCTCTCTCCGCAGTTTAAGGCTCACCTTTAAGTTGGAGTTACGAGGCTTTCACCTGGCGACAGTGTTATGTTTGATGGGCCTTAATGACTCTGTAGAATGCCCTTGAAATTCTTCGGGGCTGGGACTGTCTCCCTAGAAATCCCCCCCCCCCGTGTTGACAGTCTCTCTCCCTCTGACATGAAACGGAGCCATTGTTTGGGAAGGCAGCTCAGATAGTTGAGTGTGGGGAAGCTGACAAAGTAGAGGTTCTTGTTATCATAAAGCCAACAGACATGTGGGAGACAGCCAGGTGGGTGCTGTTATAGAGACTCCCAGTCCGGTATGCAGGGTGCATGGAATCAGACATTTTTCTTTGTACCTGTTTATATGAAGATCTAACTTATCTTATCTAACCTACTTAAACTGTTTTTGAATGGGCTGTTCCAATTTCTCTATGGGTGTCCGTTATGTTATGAAAAGTATAGCCAAATATACGACCTACAAAGACCTGGAGACCCATTGAAATGTATGCAAAGGACACAATGTATACTGTGTGGTAGTGGTTCTCAAGTGCTCAACTCACTTACCAAGTCGCACTAGAATTCACGGCATAAAAACATAGTTTTGCTGATATTTTTGCTGAAAGGTGATTTATATTTTATAATTTTTCCCAAACTTTGAAATTCCAAATGTTTCACCCTCTCAGCAAAAATAATTGCTGTAAGTTTAAATGATCAAGACAACTTAAGTTAAAAAAAACAAGGCCTTTTTAATGAAAAAAAGTAACATTTTAGACAAAACATTTCAGATGAATCGATTTAGAAATTCAACAATCATTGTCATCATGTATAAAACACAGGGCATACCACATCACTAACATAGAGTTCAGTGCTTCCAGCAGCCTCAAAGTCACACACAAAATATTTAACACAGGAAAACCAGTCTGGTGTGGGCTCCGTTCTAAAGAGCAAACATTATATGGTGGCATGAATATCGGAGTTTTCTCCATCTCAAAAGAAACATTATGCTGTAAGAAAAACGACCGTCCTCTCCAGCTCTCTCTGAGAAGTCTTTTCCACGATGGCTGCGGTGTGAGAAAACAGCAGGTGCGAGCTCAGACATAGTCTCTCCTATCGTAGCCACTTGGGGCGAGCGACCTAGTTTGTTGGGAGTACATCATCTTTGATGGGGGCCCATACCTTTTCTCGGGTTGCTGGGGGCAACTGGAGCAGAGAATGCCCCCTCCAATGAGCAGAAATGCGGCTGCAGCCCAGCCCAGGTACAGAGCCCCACCGATCTCCCTCTTCTGTGCCTCGGGTATGATCGGACTGTAGAACTCCATGATGATGGTATGGGCGGACCACGACACGGGAATCATCTGGGTCACGGAAGCCAGGATGAATGACACCCCGGCGGCTATCATCACGCGAGCCTTGGCCGACTCGTCGTCCACACAGTTGGTGCATTTCGCCCCCATCATGGCCACCATTACTCCCACGATGCCCACCAAGATGGAGATGATGGTGAGGGCGCGAGCGGCCTGGAGATCTGCGGTTAGAGCCAACATGGAGTCGTGGATTTTACACTGCATCTGACCCGTGCTCTGGACCACGCAGTTCATCCAGATGCCTTCCCAGGTGGTCTGCGCCGTGACGATGTTCACCCCAATGAAGGCCGACACTCTCCACATGGGCAAGGCGCAGGACGCAATGGCCGAGATCCATCCCAGGACAGCCAGAAGCACTCCAAGTATCTCCAGTCCCACTGACGGCATGTCTGAACTCTGTGTGAGTTAAAGTGCTCAGAGGTCGTCAGGAGTAGATTGAATGAGTATTCTCAGGAGCGCTGATTGCTCATATAAGCAGCAGACTTCTTTAGCGCAGAGGGTGGAGTCATTTGGTTATAGGCCAGTTCAAATCAAATCGTCTTCTGTCCCACCTTATTTGAATGTACAAAAAAAACTAGCCTTGGTATGTGAACGGCGTCAGCTTAATCATTCACCTTCCTCTCCCCAGTAGCTCTCCCCCACATTTGGGTGAGGGGAGAGTAAACAGAGGGCCTGTATCTCATGTGGAGCAGTTAAAGGATAACAGACACGGTAAAGAACGGAGGATGAATGATTGAAAGTGGAAGTCAATATTATCAACTCCGGTTGCTTTTCTCATTCTACTCCTCTCTGACAAATGAGTGCGTTAAGAATTCTAAATTGATTCCTGTCAACAAATATTGCATCATTTTATGGTTTGTGTTATTAACAGCGCATGTTGTACAAAGGTGTTGTGGACCATAGAGAGACATGCTGGATGTGGGTAGAAAGGGTTTAAATGGATCAGGTTAGTTATTTGGAAACCAGTGGGAGTACTCAGGTTATCTGAAGAGTGTAACTGTCCGGTGGGAGCCTCTGTATGCTTCCAATGAATTTGATAAAACCATCATCCCAAGTGCTGTGGAAGCTCTGTGTGTTTCCATTTACTGTAACCATCATCATTTAGCAGCTTAAGATAAAAACTGAATTATTGTTTTTTCCAATTGCGAGTGTCCGGGAAAAATAGGAAAACAAACTGATTTCATAAGACTCTAGATGATGTAATTCCTCTCTACCTAAAACAGATCTTAAAATAATTTCATCTGAAAACCACAACATGATAAAATATTGCGTAACACCGTTGGGAGTGAGTGCTGCTACGAGATGTTAAAAACAACTTTCCCCAGCTGCCTTAGGTTATCGTGGGAAGTTAATAACGGAGACCAAGTGCAGGAACTGCAAAAAGCCCTCGAAACATACAGCATCTGCATGTGGAAGGCACACAGGAACATCATTTATGGACAGCAGATGTATTTAATTCAGGACAGAGACATTTGTTTTTTCTAGAGATGATTCTAGAAAGTGGGCCAGACAATTGTCTGTGTGCGTTTGCACAAGGGTGTGTGTGTGTGTGATGTGCATCATGGGATTCAACCTCCATTTAACTTTTGCACCTGCCACCGAAAACTACCCTCCTCCATGCACACTCAGACCCTCAGGAGTCTGACCAGGACCCCTCATCGTGCAAAAAAGAAAGAAACTGAAAATAAATGCTGCTCTAGCAGTGTGATGTGGTGACTACTAAAAGGTATTACTTTGCTGTTGAACACAGCATGCATTTGATGATTGTGCAAAATCCCTACATTATTTCAGAAGTGTCTGATGGTTACTTGAGGTCAAGAAGGAAACATGGGCCGGCAGGGATCAAACATTCCTTACAGTCTCTGTCTTTGTCATAATGTGATGTGCTCATATCTATGCACGCCTTACTTGTACATCTGATGTCAGCTTCTCGCCAACAAGATCATATTTGTGGTTGTTTTTCAGTGGAACTCATAGGAAGTGGGGGCTGGTGGGAGATATTCCAGCTTGTCTAAACTTCTGACCGGGCCGTTGCACTTTCCCGTAACACATGACTGGGCTCAGTAGCACACAGGGTCTGTGGTCTTTAGAAGTAGTATTTAGAAGCCTATCTTCTTAGATCATTAACCTCATTGCTCAAGACAAAGCAAGTTAAGAAAGCAAGACATTTCAACATTTATCTTTTCTTTCTTGTTCTTTTATTGCTTGTGTATAAATCAGGAGTGCTGAATTGCCATGCAAGCTTGTATATCTGCTTTAAATGGTAGTATGTTCTAAAACAGTTGAAAGGAGCTGAACAAGACTTTGAGATGTCTCAAAAGTAGGTTTTCTCCTTTTGGTTGGATTTGAGGTGACCCTAAATGTGTTTGTCTTCAACAAATCCCAAAGTGACTTTTCAATCAGTAACTTCTTTTGTTTTGTCATTTATTTCTATGTTCTTCAAGATTTCTGTTGACTCTTTGAGAGTTTCGAGGCACTTTTAATACAGTGAATCCCACCTGGGGACTAAAGTAAACAGTTGGAAGGCATCTAATCAATAGGGTCTTTGTGGCTCAATTACAGTGCAGGTTACACACCCTTGCAGAAGGAGACTTTTATCTCCGACTCGGTTTCGCTCTCGCAAATGGCGGACGGGCTACAATGGAACGGAAGCATAAGGTGCTCCTCTGAAACAAGCCAACCATTGTTGCTTTTCCTCCATTTGCATTGAAAGAAAATACCTAATTTTGGCGTGCAACCTCTTATCGGTCAGACTCTGCTGAACTCTACAGCTGGCATCTGGCCCTGTTTGTGCATACTAAAGAACTCATGCAGGCAGAGTTGTCATGTTACTAATGTTAATTTAACAGTCAATTTCTTACTCTGAGGCATGAGTTACAAAGTTTGTTTTCACCAGGAAGACTTGAAAATGATCACATTCTTCAAAAAGCTTTGTTCTTTTGTTTGTAACCTTGTATAAAACTTTCTTTAATCAGAAGTAAATTGCATAGACATTGTATTTGTTTAAGATAAGACACCATCTTAATGTTTTTTGGAAAAAAAGTAAAAAACTTACAGGTAAAATAATGTATTAAAAGCAATATAAGATGCCCACCATTACAGAAACACACCATGAAACATGCATCAGTGATTCAAACTTAATGTCATACTTAATGTCCAAGCCCACGATGCTGCATTAACTTCTATGCCGTCAAACATCCGCCTGCTGTGCACACATTTGCTGCAACGCCGGTCACCGCATCTTCATCCGCGCCCACATGTCACATGTTCATACATAGTCTCTTCTGGGGTATCCGTTCACTGACATGATCTTGACCGCAGAGTAGTCCGCCCGGGGGGGCCTGGAGCCGCCACCGCTCGGTGCCGTGGCCGGCGTGGGTGGGCAGGAGCAACAGAGCAGGGCTCCCCCGAGTATGAGGAGGCAGGAGGAAGCCCATCCAAAGTACAGAGCGTTCCCAAACTCCCTCTTCCCCGTCTCCTGCAGCAGCGGGTCGTAGAAGCCCAGGACGATGGCGTGCGCCGTCCAGGACACGGCCACCAGCAGCAGCAGTCCGGCCACCACGAAGGTCACTCCAGCGGTCACCACAAGCCGCGGCTTGCTGCTCACGTCGCGGCTGCAGTTGGTGCACTTGCCGCCGGCCACCGACAGTCCGATGCCCACGATGCACAGCACCATGGAGACGATGACCAGAGCGCGAGCTGCTTGCAGGTCCACCGGCAGCCCCAGCATGGAGTCGTGCACCCTGCAGTGCATCTGGCCCGTGCTCTGCACTGAGCAGTTCATCCACAAGCCTTCCCAGATCACCTGGGAGATGACGATGTTCTGACCGATGTAGGCAGCCACCCGCCACATGGGCAGGCCGCAGGCCACCATCACCCCCAGCCAGCCGGCCACGGCCAGGATCATCCCGAGGATCTCCAAGCCTGCGGAGTACATAGTCGGAGCTGGGGATGAAGAAGGAGCTGAACAAGACTCTTTTTCCAGGGCTCTGTGGGATAGAAGGCCCCTCTGTGTCCGCAGGCTCAAACCTCCAGAGATGAAGGCGATATCGGATCTCTTGGCTCAACGTCCTACAAGACTTTTTTAGTGAGAGGGAGAAACAGATTCTACCTTCTTTATACAGCTTAGACAACTGAAGGTGGAGTCAGCTTAAGGTGGCATCGTGTTTACCTTCAAACTGCACTTGCAAATGGGAATAATTTCACATTTTTTCAACTGGAATTGTTGTCAAATGGGAAAACCATCAGTATTCTTTCCGAAAATATATTTAATAAGTACTTGTAGAGACTTGACACCAGTAAAGCATAATATATTATGGATTCCGGAGGATGATGTTGTTTTTAACCACATTTACAGAAGAATTGCTAACGGCAACCATTTAGTCAGTTCTGATTATACTATACTATATAAAGATGCTTGTAGCAGCATTCACTAAAGTCTTTTAAATGTGAGTATCTGTGTATATGACATGGGACAACCTTGAGGAACATTGCTGAATCACTATCTGAATGAGATCCCTGTTAAAAAAAAAAAAAAAAATGCAACAATGACGGGCCCTGTTTTTGGCTGGTTAGATACATAATCCCTCCTGGGAGAAAAAAACACAGACTGGGTTTAAGTTAACAGGCCTCATTGTCAGTGGGCATGTTCGAGGTGTTTTAAAATGAAGGATACATGGTTAAATATAATAAAATACACTGTGAATATCAGCCCGAAAGTCTTATTACCGAACATGAAGCAGATGATACTCTTTTGAATCTCCATGGGACATAAGATTGCAAATATCAAACCATAAATACATCCCCGCAGCTCAATGGTGGGTCTGTGTAGCTAATCCTCCCTTATATGGTCTTTTTGGGGGGAACCTCAGAGAATAGAGTATATTTAGGTTTAGGCCAAAACACAACTTTCTGTGCAAGTCAATGCAAAAAAAAAAGTAAACTACTGTGATTTTGCATCTTGTTTAATTTTAATTACTGTTATATCCTGAGCTGGAAATGCTCACCTGAAAATCTAAAGCAAAACAATCAAAGTGAGGTTAAAAAGGCCCAGAAATATCCAGCTCCTTCGAAAATAAATAAATTTGTATTTTTGGCCTTAACAAACGCTGTGATGTATTTTTATGAGTCAGCATTACCCTTTTTGTCCCATTTGCTGAACACCAAATGAATGAAAGAATACCTGAACAGGTGGGACATCAGAGTCTCTTGTTGTTCAACAGACAGCGGGGTCGTTGAGGTCGGTTGACAGTCGAGCTCTATGTCATTACAGGCTTTCCCATAATTAACAGAGGTCACCTGGGGTCAACGGTCATGATTATCTCTCTTATCTTGTGGTTAACCCCCTCCACAGACACGCATGCACACACACACACACACACACACGCACACACACACACAAACACACGCACACCTGACAGGAATCTTTGCATCCGTACCATTGTTACTAGCAAAGGGATTTTGCATTGTTGTGCAACAGTAGGAAGAATAAGCTTTTTCTAGAACACGTTTCCGGATTTCATCTATCAGCTTTGAATATTTTCGATTGGTTCAGAGAAAAAAAAAAACTTTTAAAAACTTAATTTTCCTAACTGGTGATCTTAAAGTTGAGAGGAAATGCAAAAAGGTCTTCTTTTTTTTTTCCCCTTTTATATCACATCCCTGGTCAAAATTGTGCACTTAATTAACAATATATGCAAAAAAAACTCAATCAAGGCAGCGTGTGTGTGTGTGTGTGTGGAGCCACAGTCTGTAGCTCTGTATGGCACTACCTTCTAAGCCCGCCCACTATTTATTGGCCCAATCAAATGCGATTTGAATCCCTCCTGTAATCAGGCGGCAACGTCTGGTTCTACCGAGTGAAGCCGATGTGGAAGTGTCTTAAAACCTGCATTCTCTCTACTGACCAGCAGGGGGCGACTCCTCTGGTTGTAACAAGAAGTTAGATTGTATAGAAGTCTATGAGAAAGTTTTGTTTCAGTGGGACTTTAAAGACTTAACGTCCCCTATAGATTACAAGTCACACTTCATGTTTACATATGTTCAGTACAGCACGTACGTGCATGCCCATTAACACCCTTTAATAACTATTCCATGTCAGGTATAACCAAGAGAAAAATAGAGCAAGACCGAGAACTAGTTTAGAGAAATCCTGAAAAAGTAAAAGAGGGAGGTTAAAACGTTTGCTCAGATGAAAGAGGGGGGTCAGAAAGGACGCATATGATCCCGGGACAGACTTTGGAGACTGTAACTGTACATGTGCATTATACAGTAAGTTTATGTTTTAACAGGCAGAGGAGCCACTGTTGCATTCTCTGTGTTGTATTAACTATGTTTGACTGGTTTTGCAGAACACACCCTTCAGTAGGATCTAAACTGTGGATAGTGGATCTATTTCGGATTAGCAGATCTTTATTAAAAAGTTTTTGTGTTTACAAAATGTAGGTCTTTAAATCTTCATCATACTCTATCTGGGAGCTTATCCTGATTTTGAATTCTCTTATGTCTGTTTCTATTTCTTTTTCATTTTAATTAGCTTTACTGGAATTGTTTTTAATCCGTTTTTACCTCATGATTTTATAATTTGGAGACTTTCATTAGTTGCCTTGCGTTGAGCACTTTGTAACTTGGGTTTTGAAAAGTGCTTCATAAATAGTTTCTGGTTAAAGGGTGTGATTTTTATTGTATTTTAAAGACAGCTTTCTGATGCCTGATCAAATTGTATTGTTTTTCCCTCAACTAAGTTTGTTTTTGTATCATCTGGTTCTAATTTGCATCCGTCTCTGTGCAAGGAGTGTTCAACGCCAGAGCTTCCAAGAGACACAAACGTTTCATTCTTGAAACTCCCTAACGGCCAACGTTCGGAACAGCGTGCAACCGTGTAGATCCCCAGATAAAGACGGATGAAACCAGTTACAGCTCGATTCATAACAGCAGACGTGATTGGCTGATGCATCCAGGAAGCCACTCGGTGGAGGGTGAGACAGAGCTGTGTTTTTTAATCTCCGTGCAGCATCAGTTAAGTAAGCACGCATTCTCACACCTGCTCAACACCCTGGTTACAAGTTTCCCACATTGTGTCTAAATACACAAGGATGCAAATACCCCGGCATAAGCAATAAAACAGAACTGACACTAAACAGCAAGTCACCATTATGCAACATGTACAAATACTTCACATGACGAGCAAGTGGTGTGTAGTTACTCTGTAACATTCAAGAAATGACTTGGAACTTTAGCAACTCAAATTCAGTCTGAGGCAAGAAGTGTATGTGTTGCTGCGGACAATCAATGACTAGTTTTAAAAAGCAGGCTGGCCAAACAATATCTCACTCAATGTGACGCACAGTTTGGTCTTGTCCTGACTTTTGCAATCCTCATTTCACTAAGATTAGACTTTTGAATCCTATTCTGAGGTTTCAGGTTTCTTGATTTGCGTATGAAGCTGTGTGTTGTTTGCTGGATGCAACAGATCCGTGCAGTAGGTAAACATAGACATTACCTCTGATTAACCATGCTTTATCCGCACCAAACATGGCCATTATTTAGTTTAGTTCAACATATTGTCTTTTCTTTGCAGGTGCAGCTACTTGGAAATATACAGGTAGTCACTCCCACAGAGCAACCTGCTGAACATTCACCTGTCATGGGAACGGGAGCGAGTCCGACCGGTTTCCACGAGGCACCGCTGTCTACTGTAGGTTGCTGTTGCTTCACAGGGAGCTTTCCTTTACACTAACTACCATCAGATTATTCTTTGAGACTAATTCTGTCTACATTCACAGTCGGTTATTGCATTTATTTCATCTTTACATCATCACAGTACACATGATTGACCCCAGACTTGAAAGAACATGTATTCGGAAGTGAATTAATACAAAAGTAAGGAAGCAAAAGTTGTTCCTGTGTTTCGTTAAAAAGTTAATAATCCCCGTCTCTGACGGTGAATACAAAGGAGGAACTGAACGGTTCCCCAGACCAAAATACAAACCTTCAGTCATTCCCTAGAATGTATAGTAGACCTGCACGGCAGCTGTCGCCTGTGGCTTTTATTAGCCCACGTTACATTTACACGACCTGACTTTCACACTCTCGTTCAGACAAACATCAGATGCGATCTGCAGCACGAGTCCTATGTCACCAACATAACTTGGTCCTGACAGCTTCCGTTGCTTTACACATTACAGTTTTTCATCCTCTTCCTGTCCAGTGAAAACCTTGTATCTCCAGATGTGTTGATGTGGAATGTTTGTGATGGACTGAAGGACAAATACACATGAATCCAGCAGTAATATTAATCCCCAAACATCACATATAATAGTAAAAGACTGACGGGGAACATTTTACAGATCAATGAATACTTTTACTTTGGACACTTTGAATAAGGTTTTGAATGCAGGACTTTTGATCATAGTGGAGTATTTTCACAGTCTGGAATGGATATTTTATTTCCGTCAACATCTCTCTCGTCTCTTCAGCCGTCTCTTGAAGACTTCAAGCTCGTGTTTCGGTCATGTGATCACGTGTCATGCCCAGACCCGCATGAGTCACTGAGGATCCCACAACCACACTCACCGTGCTTCAGAAACCCAGTGAAACTGTGACTGGTACCTGGACAACAATGGCCTCGGGGCTCACCGTGATGACATCACACGCCAAATACGGACACGGTCCACCCCCACAGACACACACACACACACACACACACACACACACACACACACACACATACACATATTCTTCCTGCTCTGACACATGAAACTACGTCCTTTTTTTTTTTTTACCCAAACAATGAAACCAGGGACAACTTTCATTACATCACAAAATACTACTAAATCCCCTCATCGTGTTTGATGTTTGGTACGGTGTAACTACAATGACCTTCAAATACTGTACGGCTTACAATACCACATCTTAGCATGTACTATCAACTCTAAATATGCACATATATTCACTTGGGATTTAGCTGTGTTGTATTTACACCACCAACATCATCTTTACTTTAATAAGTTTATGATTTTTTTGGGTATTGGTTTAATATATAAAAGTCTCTTTAGATTTGACTCTGTCAGCAGTATTGCCAGTTTATCCCTTTTTCACAAAGAATCCACCACACTAAACAAGTTTCTCTGTTATCCGACCCAAAATATCAAAGATGGCTAGTTCAACTCATAGATAACAGTATTCAGTTAACTCCAAACAACAAATACAAGAGAATGTCCACTTTTAAATGTCCAGCCAATCTGCCAGTGACTTCAGACAGAAGAACACGCGACAAGATTCACCAAAAACAAAGCTCTGTTTTAAAGTGTCTATTCATCTGACTTTTGTTTCCCTCCATTTTGCCATAACTGCCCTTTGTAGACTGTACCACTGGATGGCTGAAATAACAGAAGCGGCCAAATGAGGAACTGGGAGTCTCCTACGGTCAGAATACAAACCCACAGTCTGTCTGACTTGCACGGCATCCGTTTTGGCTTGTGTGTGTGGCTCATATTAGCCCATATCTGACTTGCACACATTTATCTGACACTCTCATTCAGACAAACATCAGATGGGATCTGTGGCAGAAATTACAGAGAACATTCCATCCAAACAAACATGGCTGTAGTGTAGAAAAGCTAAATAGCCGAATAAAGACACCTGAGCACTTGTTTGAACTGCAGGCTGACGTTTCATACTGACCCAGCCAGTTTTGACTGAAGGGATGGAAAAGCTGAGTGAACGGCAAAGCCAGCCGTTCCCCGCTGAACGACCTGCTGACACTTGTCACTCTGGCTCCCTCTGGCATTTTCCCATGGCTGCTGGAGTCTTTTCGCCCGCTGCTGCAGACTTTGCACTGCGCAAAGTTGCCTCGATGGAGGAACTCAAGCGCTTTTTTCATTAGTTTTCTGGCACCAAACACGTATCCACGCCCTTAACTTTGCATAAGCAGCTGCATTTGGAATGAGTTTATTTTACTATCAGTCTGATTTGAAAATACTTTTAATTCCTCAGCGGATGCAGTGCTTTATAGGTGTGCTGAAGTTGCTGCATGTTGACGATGTGCGAATGTTTCAAAGACATGAGACTATAATCTCACCCCGAAACCATCTCTCCTCAGATTCCTAATTGTGGAAATTCCTCCCTGCCTCCTTGTGTGTGGAACCCAATCTCCATAGCCAGGCCCCGAGTAGCTTTGATGACCCTACCTCGGATAAAGTAGAGGCATTATGGTCCTAACGGCAGTTTTGGCCCTTAAAACACTGCCTCCATTCATTTCTGAAACAATCTGATTCTCTCTCCACTCTCTACCTCTCTTTGCCCCCTCTCACCGTTCCCTCCGTTTGCAACAGTGTGTCAACAGGAATCACTTGGCGTAGTGTCTGCCGTTTCCCCCCAAACATCTGCCTCCTGATATCCTCTCACTGGTGGGGCAAAGCTGTCGATAAATCAAGTGGGACCCCGGGACTGCAGAGCGCACCGACGTGAGGAGGCTTGCGACCCTTCAGCCTTTAAGGACTGACATCACTGCAAGGTCGGCTTTATTCTCTTGGTTTTTTCACCCACTGCACATGCTCATATCACGTACCGTGGACAATTGTTTTGTTTTCCATTTTTAATGGAATAATTATTATGTTTATGTCTTTGTTTTCTACTCATTACCAAAGTATTCTCATGGGCCAACGATGCTCTTCTGTTATTCATCTGTGCGAGTGAGCCTGTTTAAATCAGTGTAGGATCCAACATGTACTTGATTCTTATACATTTCTACAATAAATGTGTTTTTTGGGGTATTAGGACTGATTAAATAAATAAGAGGATGATCGGAGCATTTAGCCGACCAGCTGCATTTTGTAGTTCGTAGTTAAGCAAAGTCACTTATTTATTATGGACAAAAATGTACAATATGCTGCGTTTCTGTGATGTTCAGCGGTAATAAAATAGCTGCAGTAGAGACTAATCTAGTCATATTCACAACAGCGGACTTAAATGCTGTATACCAAATATTTAATCATAAGACTAAGAAATAATAAATAAAGTTTTATGCTGTTGCATACTTATTCTAACATACATTTTCACTTGTGCAAATTTCAGTGTGTGCGATTGGGCGACTGAGGTCGTTTGTGTATTCCAATCAGTTTGAGACAAAAGGTGGAATACACAAAGGACGGGTACAACTTCACTTAAACAAGAGTACTGACATCAGAGGGTCAAATGTTTGATGAAAATCCAGAAAGTCTGAGAACATCTTTGCTGTGTCTTAAGTTCTCAAACACCTGCTCTCGAAAAGTAACATTTGTAGATCTAGGAAACATTTGGGGACTACTTGGAACTCAAAAGTGCAAAGTCTTTAACGGGGAAAGTAGTATTTACAGTCACTGTTACCACAGTACATAACAGAAAACGTGAAAGAAAAAGCAACCTGATGGTGTCTTTGTGAGTGTGGCTGATTCCTACTAAACCGATCTCAATACGTGTGAGTCACAGTCTTGTGTTCCACCTGCAATGATTATCCGACTGAGACGAACATGATGACACATGCCCATGGGGGGGGGAGGGGTGCAGTTGTCACGTCACAGCTCCATTCAACGATGTGTGTGTTTGTGTTTGAAGCCCCTCCCGACTTAAGCATATAAAAGACCCACTCCGACCTCACCCAGACATTTACTCTTGGAGATCTCTCGAGCAAGACTTCACTGACTTCCAGAGACACATTTGTACCATTTTTCCTTTCTTTTGTTTGGGACCACTTAGCAAGAAGCTACCTGAGGCGACATGGTGTCTGCCGGCTTTCAGATCCTGGGCACCGCCCTGTGCATTATCGGCTGGATCGGGACGATCGTCGTCTGCGCCCTCCCCATGTGGAAGGTGACGGCATTCATCGGCAGTAGCATCGTCACTGCTCAGACCACCTGGGAGGGCATCTGGATGAACTGCGTGGTCCAGAGCACAGGCCAGATGCAGTGCAAGGTCTACGATTCAATGCTGAACCTCTCCACGGACCTCCAGGCCGCCCGCGCCCTCACCATCATCGCCATCATGCTCGGCGTCGTAGCCATCCTCCTCTCCCTCGCGGGGGGCAAGTGCACCAACTGTGTGGAAGATGAGGCGTCCAAAGCCAAGATCGGCATAGCGTCCGGTGTGCTCTTCATCCTCACCGGCATTATGTGCCTCATCCCTGTGTGCTGGACGGCAAATACCATCATTAGGGACTTCTACAACCCGATGCTGGGGAGCTCTCTGAAGAAGGAGCTCGGAGCTGCGCTCTTCATCGGCTGGGGGGCCTCAGCCATCCTCATCCTGGGTGGTGCGCTCCTCTGTGCCAACTGCCCTCCCAAGGATAACTACGGTGCCAAGTACTCTGCCGCCCGTCCAAACGCGCCCAAGGACTTTGTCTGAGGGAGTAAGAGCCAAAGAGACTGGGGAGAGAAAAAAAAGACTTGAGTCAAATGCTTTGCGGTCCATGAAATGGATTCATGTTGCATTTGAATTTCACAGGGATGTTATTGTGCTCAGTTTAGTTTGATGTGTTCATGTTGACTTACAGCACTTCAAGGTTTGTCTCATCAGTGCCAAGAGGATATGTGCACCCCGCCCAAACCATGTGGACTGAGTGATGCATGCTTAATCAGTGGGAGTGAAAAACGTGTATGCATCTTTATATATATTGGATTGCCATTTTCATTTTATTTCAAAATGTGTATCATATGTGACTGTCTGAAACTGTAAATAAAGATTGTTTTTTACCAACAAAAATTTGATCGTGCTTTGTTTTGTTGTTTTACATTTTTTTAACATTATAACGGCTCAATCAAAAGGTAAAACGGAGGCTTCAAAATGACGCCGCACTCTGGTATAGTGACTAAAAACTGTGAAATTCAAAAAGGTAATCCAAAAATTTGACATATTATCACGTTGTCCCTAAAATACATCTTAAGTACAGAGTAAAATAAAAACCCTAATTCACTACCCTTTCTGTAGTGTAAGTAGACAAAACAACTAAATGTGTAAAAAAACAACTAAACCTGATTGAGACAACTTTATAATACAACATACTCATGTACAAAGCATGATTTTGTATACACTCTAATTTAGGACAACCCTGTATTAGACATCATCAACATTAATCAGATCAGACTTCTTGTACTGTCCTCATGAATTATGAGATGCAGTTTGACTTTTTCTTTTTTTTTTTTACAGGAAACTTGTGTCTAATGTCTGAGTCATTACCAGTCCAACACTGCCCCTTGCTGTAAAAAAATAATAATAACACATCCAGCAGTTTCACACATATGATCATGTGTAAACACACGGGTAACAATACTTGCACCTGCACATTTCTTAAACATAGAACAAACGTGAATCCATAACACAGAGGTTGGATCCAGTTTTCCTCTTGAACATGTTGGGTGTATACAACATTTACTGTACAGACTCCATTTCTTGGAACAAGTGTGTTGGTTACTCATGTGTTGTGTTACTGTAATTAAACTGTTGTGAATGTGTGAAATTAGAAGAAGCCTCGTTTGTCAGTATTCCTTAACTGTATGTGATCATGGCTAAACTTTATACTTTGAAATCTTTGTCAATTAGAGAATAAAGGGTTTGTGGATGAGGACGTCTTTCTTTTGTCTGCCCTTGAAGCTTTGTATTCAGGCAGGTCAGCGCTACTAAAGGTCACCGGTTCTCTGTTTGTATGTAAACTCTTCTTAGCCAATAGGAGCTGAGGACTGTGGTATCACATACCCTCATGCCTGTGTCCTCTTCTTCTCAGACAACAACCTATAAATACGAGCTTGCCTCGTCCCACCCGTCTCTCTTCTTGGACCTTTTAAAGAGCGAGGAACAAAGCCAGGCATAATGGTTTCTCAGGGGATTCAGATCATCGGCATATCGATGGCCTTGGTCGGCTGGTTCATGGTCATCGTGGTGTGCGCCCTGCCCATGTGGAAGGTCACCGCTTTCATCGGGGCCAACATCATCACGGCGCTGACCATCTGGCAGGGCATGTGGATGAACTGCGTGGTGCAGAGCACGGGCCAGATGCAGTGCAAGATGTACGACTCAATGCTGGTGCTGCCCCGGGACCTGCAGGCCGCCCGCGCCATGGTCATCGTCTCCATCCTGACGGGGGTCGTCGGGGTGATCTTGTCCATCGCCGGCGGGAAATGCACCAACTGCATCGAGGACGAGCGATCCAAGTCGAAGGCCTGCATCCTGGCTGGCGTCTTTTTCATCGTCTCGGGTCTGCTCTGTCTCATTCCGGTCTCCTGGTCCGCCAACAGCATCGTCACCAACTTCTACAACCCGCTGCTGATCGATGCCCAGCGGTACGAGCTGGGGGCGGCGCTGTACATCGGCTGGGCGGCCAGCGCACTGCTGCTCATTGGAGGCGGGCTGATGTGTTGGAACTGCCCGCCCAAACAGGAGCACCCCCGCTACACGCCCAAGTTCATACCCGTGAAGTCGGTCTCCACATCAAGAGAATACGTGTAAGATGGTCAGCGCTTCCTACATGGACTTTTCGCGGAAATTACCACCGCCAGAAATTACTTCAAAATAAAAACGTATATTCACCGGCAATGTAAATGTAGCTTGAAATCCCACGCTTGCCACAGGCTGAAACCTGAGCTTTGATTGCTGTTAGCAGGTTGTGTCAAAGTGACCTTTCTCACAGCGGACATTTTGTTTTAGGCAAGCGAGTGTAGCTGACAGCATAAACAATCATCCCGTTCAGTCGTGCTCTTGGTTTACTGTCGCACCTTGATGGATGGGATCATCAATGCTATCTTCTCCTGCTGCAATGAGAGAAAATGTTTGCTGTGAAAACAGTCCGTCCAACACCCAAAACAGGAAGTTAGCTTTTGTTCATGCCTCAGTCTGACATTTCAAAATATTAGAGCCTTTTTAAAGAAAATGTGAATCCATGTTGTGTTGTGGCTGGTTGACGAGTAACTAGGATTTGAATCATGATCATAATGAATCTGTGTAAACATTTAGTCAGATTGTTGTAAGGATTTCTCAGTGTAATCATCTTTATTGTCATTCTGATGGTAACATCTCAACAAACAAACAAAGGCAGAAATACTGCATGCAAGCATCTGGGGTGTCAGTAATATGTAAACATTTTAGGTGAAGGAGAATCTGTTATATCTATATTTTACTATATTTCTATATTTGTATCTGTTGTCCTTTGTCATTTTCACACAGCTTGTGTCTCTGGATCTTTTATTGTGTTACTGTAAATAAACTCTATACTAACTGGATGACCACTGTTTACTTACCTCTGAGAAACGTGAAGCATGTAACAGCATTATAGGGATTAATAAAGAGGGAAGAGGTAGAATAATCAACGCGGTAAGCTGAGGAGATGACTATGCACCAATGCAGCGGACATGAATTAACCCGAATGTGTCATGAGTTACTGCTCTCATGTAGTTCCCCCTGGAGAAAGTGATGGAAGATAAATCACCTCCTTAAACAATACAGTTTTAAGTGGTTTGGGGTACAGGTTCAAGACTGCCATCGCGTCTGTGGGTCGCTTTGTCTCGTGCGGGCTGTTGGACAGCATCCAGATGATGCTCAGCAGAGACATGACATGTTTATGGCTTGTGATCCGTCTCCTCTTAGGAAAACATGTTTTCAGCCACCTGTTCTTTAAAGCCTAGAAGGAAACTGGCATTCATTAAAAAAAAAAGCTGAGGGCGTTCTACAAAAGCAGGTGAATAACTTCCTCATTCAGAGAGGAGTTTTAGTTCAATCTAAAGTGAACCGTTTGAGTTTTATAACCTGTAGAGCTTTTAAATGTTGTGTTTATGGCAAAGTAATAAGTTCACGAAACACATTTCCGTCACTGGATCGTAGTTTGGAAATGATTGTCTGTGCAGTATCACATTACTGGATAAGGTGTGTGAAAGATGGTGTCAACAGTTTGTTTACCTGACACAGGTATTTGTTTTAGGATCTAGTTTGTTGAGACTTGACTGGCTTCCTGTGTCTCATCACTGCAGCAAGGTGATTGTTATGAATACTGAAACCGATGTCCTCTGCTCGGGGCTGAGTATCTGTCTGGAATGCGTCTCATGTTGATCTTTGCAGGGGCCATGTTAAGGTATGCTTGCTGTACAGCACACAGTACATTCAGCATCCGTGACACAAGCACTGGTGGAGTCCTTGCAACAAAGACCAAGTCATTCTGGGTGTCTTGTGTCCGATCGCTGTTTGCTTTGTGCATCATGATTTTAGCCTTTTTTTGATTTTAGTGATTTTAACAAACCAAGTGCGTCTGCTCTGGTTGTATTATATTACGGTTGACAGCTGTAGTTCAGTGATTCAATAGAATAGCTTAACACATTTTATCTTCAAAGAAGTGTCTGGGACCACACCATTTAGTGACACAATAATCCCACTTTGCGGAAGGAATAAAGAGAAGGCTTTCCTTTTAAAAACAACAGTGTTAATTTGACATTTTCTTTTATGAACAATAGAAACCAAATCTTAACATTATAACATGACCTTTATAGTGAAAAGAGATAATCTTATCTTTTACTCTTATCAGTTGCATGCGGGGGTTCAAAGTTGCCTTAGGATGCGACTCTGATTATAAATTAGCACATGAAAGAGGCTGTTTGTGAACAATCACCGGGACCTAATTTGATCGTTTGCCATCTTTCACAGCCTGATTGGGTTTCAGGACCTTTTGAAGTCCCTAAGTGGCTGCAGCTCCATCCAATAACCACATCCTCACTGCAGGAAAATCTGCATACTAGAGTGCATTTCCAAAGACCAAAAGCACGGCATTGTTTAAAAGAAATGGGTGGCACTCCTCTAGCTCTAGCAAACAGAATCTGGTTTGGCCAGAAGAACCCACCTGACGACGCGACAGCCCTCCTCCTGTGCGCTTCTCCAACAAACAAGTGAGACAGCTGCGTCACTCTGAAAGAGGACCAGACCCGTGCGCTGAAACTCTCTTCTCTCCTGCTGCAGACGAAGTCTATTCACCATGGGGAGGATTGGCAAGGAGGTGGCAGGTCAGGTCATAAGCTTCATAGGCTTCGTTGGGGTGGCGGTGACCACTGGGATCCCCATGTGGAGAGTGACCTCCTTCATTGGAGCCAACATCGTGACGGGACAGGTTATTTGGGACGGCCTGTGGATGAACTGCGTGATGCAGAGCACCGGGCAGATGCAGTGCAGGCTGAACGAGTCTCTTATGAGTCTGACCAGGGACCTGCAAGCCGCCCGAGCCCTGGTCATCATCTCCCTCATCTTCGGCTTCATCGGCATCCTGCTCACCTTCGTCGGGGCCAAGTGCACCGGCTGCCTGGAAAAGGATTCTTCAAAGGCCAAGGTGGTGATCATAGGCGGCTGTCTCATCATTGTTTCTGCCGTCCTAGTCCTGATCCCCGTCTGCTGGTCCGCAGCCATCACCATCACAGACTTTCAGAACCCCTTGACCATTGGGTCACAGAGGAGGGAACTTGGAGCCTCAATCTACATCGGCTGGGCCTCTGCTGCGCTACTTCTGATCGGTGGGATCACCCTAACCACGTCCTGCCCTCCTCAAAGGGCCACGTCTGGATACCCAGGGTACCCACCAGCACCGATGTACCCTTACGCAGGCCCAGGGCTAAACCCGGCAGCGTATGGCCCTGTGTATGCGCCTGCATCCAGCCAACCGTACACAGGCACTGGGACATATTTACCTAGCAAACCTTTTGCAGCACCATCCGCATACTCTGGTAGACAATACCTCTAAAACCTGCCTGGACAGAAGGAGGATGAAGACTGAGATTTCTGCCAGCATGACTTCAGTAAATTGTTATGCCTTTATTAAGTAAAATTGCATCAAAATACTCATTGTATTTCTAAAGCATGGTATATATTCCAATGCATTGTTTGGATGTATAATGAAGCCACTCAAACAAGCCCTGTGACCTTTTTGGATATTGTCAATCTGTCATGAAATGTTTTCTCTTTTGGATTGATTCTGTGCTCTAAAGTAGAAATCCTCTCACTTTATGAAGTCTTGATGTCAGATGAATATTATGTCAACATGGCTGTGTGCACTGAAAGTTGCATTGTTTTTCACTGTTTCCAGCAAGTCACTGTCCATATATTTATTTTCTTCTCACGCAGAGTGGATTTTGTAAAAATGATGATTTGTGATGTTTGTTTTCTGTGAATGCATCTTTATTTTCAAAGATTTTCATTAAAATATTTGTTGTATTTTCACATATCTGTTTGTGGAGTCATTATCACAACATATTGTCACTGTGTGTTATGAAAATATTATCTATGACACTTTACAAGGCCAGGGCCCTCGTGTGTCTGTGGGAGTGGAAGGCGGGAAATTATATTTAAAAGAAGCCAATGTAAATTTCCCTCTATAAATCTAAAAATATTATAACAAAGAATTTTCTAAAACAAATAAATATATATTTAAGTTTAATCACTGTAAACTGTAAAGAGCTTATTAAAACCTCAAATACACAAAGAAACAAAAGAAATACACCTTGTGAAAATAAAGACAAAATACAAAAAATACATTCTTGTCGTGATCCAATCAACTGTTTTATTGATCAACGTGAGTTCTGTCCTTGTGATGTGGAAAAACCCCAAAAAAAACAATCACTGGAATAGTATGTAGCATATGGTGAGGTAATGAGTAAACCCATAAATGGAGGCTCCTTCCGTTGACATCTGACTTCCCGGTAATACTCCCTCCCACGTTGGGCCTTCTTTTTAAACCTGGTACAAGTGACTGGACCTGATCTTGTGACGTATCCAATCAAAGGCTGGCCACTGGCAGAACATTGTTTCGATTAGGAATGCGGTGCATCTTTACGAGTTTCATTTACATAGTCGTTTCAAGTGGTTGCCCATCTCATCGAAACTACTCCTTGTCAGCTTACAGGTCATTGTCAAGAATCTGGTAGGGCAGGTAAGTCATTCAGCGAACTGGAAAGGGTATTCTGACTCCACCTTCAACAGAGACATCTTTATAAGCGAAGGAAACGCTCAACCGTCTTTATTCAACCTTACAACCCGAGCTGATCTGACCTGCTCCTGAAAAACTTCAACTCTTCTGCCGCCGTTCGAGTGACTCAAACTAGACCTCATCATGGTGTCAATGGGACGACAGATGCTGGGCTTCGCCCTGGGCATCATTGGCTTCTTGGGGACCATCATTGTGTGCGCCCTGCCCATGTGGAAGGTCACAGCCTTCATCGGAGCCAACATTGTGACGGCGCAGGTCATCTGGGAGGGCTTATGGATGAACTGCGTGACACAGAGCACAGGACAGATGCAGTGCAAGATCTACGATTCCCTGCTGGCTCTACCCGAGGACCTCCAGGCGGCTAGGGCCCTTGTGGTCATCGCCATCATCGTCTCTGCTTTTGGGGTCATCTTGGGTGTCATCGGAGGCAAGTGCACCAACTTCGTGGACAACGAACACTCCAAAGCCAAGGTGGCCATTGCCGCTGGAATCGTTTTTATTTGCGCCGGCGTTCTTATCCTCATCCCCGTCAGCTGGTCCGCCAACACCATCATCAGGAATTTCTACAACCCCATCCTGACCAACGCCCAGAGGAGGGAGCTGGGGGCCGCGCTCTACATCGGCTGGGGCACAGCTGGGCTTCTCATCCTGGGTGGTGCCCTCCTCTGCAGCTCCTGCCCACGCAAAGAAAGCCCAGAGTATCCGGTCAAGTACGCCGGCGCCAGGTCCGCAGCCACCAGCCGGGAATATGTCTGAGAGGTCTGTTCTCCTGAAAAAAAGACTTCTAATTATCTTAGTTTTTATGAGTAATCCTCCTTCGTTGTGATTTTCTGAAAGCACCACAAGTTGTGTCTCACTTTTTTTTTAAAGTGACTGAGATTTTGGGAGAAATTATGATTTCACTGAGGCAAGAGAAAGTGTTTCTTGCTGAACAAGAACCAATACAAATAATGTGGTGTGAAGAAAGAAATCTCCCAGCAGCATGCTGACTGGACTGAATGAGTCGTTATATATAATGCTTGTATCAAACCTATCTCCTCTCTGTAAATGCAAATTGAAGCTGTGATAGAACGATGTTAATGGTCAACAAGAGCTATGATAGAAGGAAGCTTGTACAGTACCCTTGATGCTTTGTGAATTTACTGTATAGAATATTTTACACATATCGTTGTTCAAATGCAATGACTGTTTTTATTTAATAAAACATTTGCTTAAGTGACATTCTTTTCTCTGCCTATTTGTTTAGATTTCGACCAGTTCTTTTTGCTGTTTACGTTCACAATTATGGTTCTAAAGTTGACGGTCTAGACTAGAGCAACTTAAAATTTATTTGTCATGGTTTAGAATTCAAAGAGGTCACAAATTAGAGAGTTGAATGAAGCAGGAGAGCGAGTGTAACAACAAAGTGTGTTCAAAAACATTCCAAGGTGAGTCGAAATCTTCACACACGTTTAACTAGTTCAACCAGTTTTACAGTGTTGAGTGCCAGTCACAACTTTGTCACAGAGTTGGCTACAGTGTGTTCGTTTTAAATGCGGATAAAGAGCCGTACCCATACTGCACCAGCATTTAAACAATCTGAATTAATAAGCATTTGCTTTGATTTGCATGAAGAAAGACTAAATACAGGATTGATGAACACATTGGGACTAAAAGTCAACAATGGTGTTTGAGGAGGATAAGGCTGCCGCTTTTTCCACATTTTTGCTATTGCTAATCCTAAGAAAAGGCCTTAAGGAAACATGTCCTAATACTCTCTTACGTCCCTCCTCATGGCACTACAGGCCCAAGCACACTGGCTTCTAATGACGGAAATCTTAGAACATGTTTCACAAATGTACAGTGTACTTTTAATTGACAATAAAGTGAAATAATTAACAAGCTGGGCTCTGTCGTTTTTAGCAAATATTACTCATACATGAATAAATTGTGAATTTATGGGGGACTGTTCTCAGCTGTGAATATCTATCCATTTGGTGCTTTAGTGAGTATTTAAAGCATGCATGTGGGATTGACTCAAAGTAAATCTGCAGCGCACATGTTCATCGTAGTAAAGAAATGATGGAAACACAAAAGGAATTTCCAAAAAGTCAACAAAACTAACCAACTGGCTTCAAGGTTTATCAGCTTTGGACACACACACCATGTTTTTAAATAGGATGAATACATTGTCACAATAATGACAACATAGAACAACAGAAAGGTCTCAAAGGAGCCCCACATGTTCATTTCGGGGTTTTTACACCCAAATTTGGTGACGACTAGCAGTGATAGGGATCACTTTCCGTGTTGTACAATATTTGTACTCTACAAATAGACACTTTTTTATCACAGTGGATGCTATAAAAAATGTTTGATACTGAATAATAAAAACAAACCTTTACAAATTGACCTTAATTAACTACAAAAACTCAACATTTTACTGTATTAAAAGAGGCATGGGTCCTTACACAAAGTAATATCAGTATGTCAACCTCATAGTCATTGTGTCACTTCAAATACAATGTTTTAATGAGTTAAGCGGAAAATGTATAATTGTCCAAATGAGACTGTCCTGTAAAACAATGACGTGAATGTGTTTATGTTCAAGTGACAAAGCCCTCTGGTGTGTACGAGGACGTCAGGTGACTTTAACATGGGTCACCGCCGTTTGTTTCTCATTCTTCGTTGGTTTCTGTAAATCATAATTACCGTAGTCATGTCTGAACCACATCCAAGAGTAGAAGTTAACTCTGTGTTTCACTGCTGGGAACACACCCTGTTTTTTTTTTTAAAACTGGTTTCACATTCCTGACTTACCCTCTGCTATCAGAGAGAATCTTACTGAACCTGTTCTGGAGTAATGACTGTGTGCAAAGCTCAGTGATGTCAGAGTAGACAATGGAACAAAAGCGTCACTGTAAATAAGCAGTGGTTCAAAAATGAGTTTCAGTCATTCAAAAAAATAAAAATAAAAGCTAAAAATAGTATTTCTTCTTTCAGTGTAAAATGCCTTTTTAAGTATGTTGCACCTGATGATCCAAGCTGTGTATTAGTGACTCTAAGCTAAATTAAAAGCAACTTACTACGTAAAGGTGTTGTGAAATATTTCAACAGACAGATGCACATAAATACTGTGGCTGCTAATGCAGAGCAGAAGTTTACAGTCTAACATCTTGCTTCTGTGACCAATGATATTTCAGTTTGATATGTTTCACTCCCAACCAGAGGTGATTTATTTTGACTTCATCTTGTCAGCGTGGATACATGTATGTGGAGAATGGTCCCTGTTTACCCTAACCCTTTCCAGTCTTCCTTTCAGTAAAGCCTCATGTCAACACTACTCAAACACTCCCTTTGCTCTTTTTCACACGTTCAATCTGCCTACAAGTGAGTGAATTTTGTGCCACACACGTCTTTTTCCTTGTTGAGAGTACCAACAAAGCCTTTTTGCAACACGATCCTCATCTCCATCCAGGAGAATAAGTGAAGCCCCAACCTTTTTATTGTCCCGCCGCATAAAGAATCCTGCACGGCTGGGATTCTTTCCGCCGTGTCCTTCATAGCTTGGCTTTCACGCCTCCCTTTCTTCATTCTAATTCTGCCTCAGACAAACGTAAACACCCGGTCGGCTCCAAATACTCTCTCAGAGATGCGCTCGGAGAGGGAAGACGATGGCTTCCATGGGGATGCAGATGGCGGGGTGCGCCATGGCCCTGCTGGGCTGGATCGGGGTGATCATCATCTGCGGTGCACCCATGTGGCGGGTCACGGCCTTCATCGGCAGCAACATAGTGACATCCCAGGTCATGTGGGAGGGCCTCTGGATGACCTGCGTGGTCCAGAGCACGGGCCAGATGCAGTGTAAGATCTACGACTCCATGCTGGCTCTGAGCACCGACCTGCAGGGGGCCCGGGCCCTGACGGTGGTTTCCATCGTCACGGGCATCGTGGGGATCTTCGTAGCGTTCGCCAGCGGGAAGTGCACCAACTTCATTCCAGAGGAGAGGGCCAAGGCGAGGGCCTCGGTGGCAGCAGGCGTGGTGCTGATCATCAGCGGAATCCTCTGCCTTGTCTCCGTTTCGTGGACTGCCAGCAGTATCATAAGGGACTTCTACAACCCCGTGCTGGTGGACGCCCAGAAAAGAGAGCTCGGGGCCTCTCTGTACATCGGCTGGGGGGCCGGGGGGCTGCTGGTCTTGGGAGGAGCGCTTCTGTGTGCCAGCTGTCCCCCCAAGGAGGATGACACCCCCTCTGTGAAGTACCTCCTAAACAAGCCTGGAGGAAACGGCAAAGAGGATTCAATCCAATCTTTTATACCGAACAAGACGTATATCTGACATTTCTAAAGGGACGAAAAGAAGTCTGGTTCATGTTGTCGTCTTCAAGAAGTCAAATAAGCTCGGGAGTTTAATCAGTTGCTGTGAAACATAAAGAAAAAGGACACACGCACAGACAACCCACAATGAAGGAAATCCGCACTTTGTACTTATTAAGATATTAAGAGTATCACTCTTTGGATGTTTGAAGAAGCTCTCTGTCTGACATGGCTTTGTATATTGTTGGTAATGAACATTCATATAGTGGTAGTTTAAATTATAGAAACTGTGTTTTATATCTTTGAAAAATGTATTGGTTCACTTTGTACCTTTTTGTCCTTTTTAATATTGCAGTTCTATTTTTGTCACAATAAATGACTCTCCATTGTAAGTTTTATTTCTCTCACGCTTTTTGTTTATACAACTTTGGAAAAAAAACAATAAACAGCACCCGTGGTTATTTAAAAGCAGAGAACCTGTTGGACAGGTTTAGTAGAGATCACTATCCAGGGAACAAAGGTGGTGACTCAGGGACTTGTTATCCTGTTGGCCGATCTGTTTAGTAAAGCATGACCTGCTTTCAAAGGTCAACGTTTGCAACAGAAACACCAGTAAACAAACTAAACTAATACACAATATAAATGATACATAGATTAAAATAATTAAAAGGGTGTCATCTAAAAACACACACGGTAAAACAATTCATGTTACATGTTCTTGTACAACTTTCTTGAGAATCTTAAATATTTGGGTTTGAAAGTTTCTGAAAGATGACTTTGATTTGAGGTGTTGGTGTTGTTAGCTTACGTGCCATCAGGCTGCAGATCAGAGAGATGTTAGGGAGGGTCAAATTACTCCAAAGTCTCAGGAAGAAGAACGTTCCTGCTTCCTCAGAGACTTTCTGTTCTGAGCGTAACGAAGGAATACAAATAGTTGTTGACGAGTATCAACGAGGTCTACATCGATTACCCCGGACTCACTAGAGGTCACTGTAGAAAAGGGAACAAGGGCCAAGTTAAAAGCGATTGTTTCTTGTGAAGGCCATCCATTACATATATCGTTCACGACCTCTCAGGCGTTGATGTTACATTACAGTAGTTTGGTTCAGTCTGGCTTAGATTTGGAGGTCAGACATCAATCACAACGATTTCATGGTGTTAGTGAAATACTTACATTTTCCTTTTTCCTCCTTGAACAACTCACTGCGATCACAAAAAATACACAATGCAAAGTTTAGACCCTAATAAGACATTTATGAGATTAATTATTCAAAAGCAAATTGAGACCTACAATAAATGCACAAATTTAACGGATAAAGGGTGTTTTACTTGTTGTCAGACGTTACTGTCCTTTTAGCTTTGGTCATGAAACATCATTTTGACGTTGATTTCTTTTTGTCTAGAATATATTCTTAAATCTAAAAGATCTGTGAAAAATTAAAGTGTTGTAATTCTCCTGCAAATAATAGGTCATTCTGCAGCACCACAAACATTCTGATTAAATAAAGATAGTTGATTCGACACTGAATATTCAAAATCACTTTAATGGCATATTGTAATTTCATGTGGGCAACTATTCTGTAAGAGAAAAAGAAACTTCATATACATTTCTTTCTTTCTTCTTTTTGTAAATTGCAAACCTTGATTTTTGAGATATCTTTTCAAATTAAAAACCCAGATTCTTCCCTTGAATTTGTTGCCTCCAGTCATCAGCAATGCACAACCTGACTCCTTGTCATTGTGACATACTGCAACCTTGTGGCCATTTGCCTCCATGGCTAGAAAACAATCCCTACATTTTCATCCAATGACATCCGTTACAGAACACAACCTGAGATTTACAGAGAAGTATCTCTACAGTGGCTGTTATCATCACATCTGATAATAATGAACCCAGTTGACCTGCACAAAGACACTTTGTACCATCATACCTCATATTTCCTTAGTTTACATAATTCCTCGTTGTGGGTTGAAATGAAAAGCCATACATGAACATGATTCTGTTCCTATCTGCCCTCTGTTTCCCGCCAGAGTGTGAGAGGGTCCCCACGCTGTCCCATGGCCGTGCAGGAGCTGGGCATCAGCCTGTCCATGATCGGCGTCGCCGGGACCATCCTGATCTGCGCCCTGCCCATGTGGAAGGTGACGGCGTTCATCGGCACCCACCTGGTGGTCATGCAGGTGTTCTGGGAGGGCCTGTGGATGACCTGCGTCAGCGAGTACACCGGTCAGATGCAGTGTAAGCTCTACGACGCCCTGCTGGACCTGTCGCCGGACCTGCAGGCGGCCCGCGGCCTCATCTGCATCGGCCTGGTGCTGGGGTGCCTGGGCTTCCTCATCTTCCTCCTGGGGGCGCGCTGCACCAACTGCCTGGGTCACCCGAGGCTCAAGGCGCGGCTGGTGCTGGGCTCCGGGGCCGTCTTCTGCCTGGCGGCCCTCGCCACCGTGGTCGCCGTCTCCTGGACGGCCAACTCCGTCATCAGGGACTTCCACAACCCGCGCGTCCCAGAGGTGCTGAAGAGGGAGCTCGGGGCGGCCATATACATCGGCTTTGTGGTGTCCGGGTTGCTGTTCTGCGGGGGGGCCATCCTGTGCACGAGCTGCCCGCCACAGAGAGCCGGGTTCCCCTCCGGCGGGTACACACCGGCCAGGACTCCCACGCGCAGCAGCTACGCCATCAAGAACTACGTGTGAGGGCTGAGAGCACCAACGAGTCACCGCTGAAGGATAAATGTATTGAACCGTGTGATGTAATGCAATCGGCCAGATGTAGATAGGGAAAAGGCACATGTATAGCCTGGCAGGAAAATGACTATATTTGGTATTTCCTATTTCTGTACATCCAGCACAGGTTAAACACCCCTTGAAGAGCAACACAACCTTTAGAGGATGGCGATATATCTTGACCACCCTCTTGTATATTTTCTTTACTTGTATTGTCTGGCTTCTCCTCAAATTCAAGCTTCAATAAACCTTCAGCTAAAGACATGGAGTCTCCCGCTGCTTCTTCAGTCTCCAGCTAATCTGCTCGCAAAGATTTCCGTCACACGCGGTGTTTTGCTAATTATTGTAGTGAAACACAATTATCTGTAAAAAATGAATCATAATGTTGATTTCCGTGGTCGTGTCAGAGCCAGAAATACTTTATTAAGTCCGTATGAAGACGGACTTGCAAGTTCCCTTCACAACTCAAGGCAGAGAGTGTATTTGTACCCCTGCAGCTGAACGTGCATCTGTCGCTAATGACGTCAATCATGTTTGGTGAAAGTATAAACGGAGAACATTTTTGCCATGTTCAAAACTTGCGTGCTTGTGATTTGCAACCATAGACTGTATATAAGAAGCGGACGTAGTCATCGTCACGTCACCCATTGGTTTGTGATCTGCCGTTTTGAAGCCTCGAGTTCAGCGTTTTTGTCGTCGCCATCTTTGATCACGGCCATCGCCATGTTTCTTTTTTGCAAAAGATGAACAGAAGTGACCATATTTGGAATGCGTAGTGTGTGACATAGATATGACGTATACGTCTCTGGTAGTGGCAGCTCCGTGTTAATCACAGTAAGCTGTCCTTAAAATATTCTCCTCTTTATGGTCTATTTGACTGTAAATGGATCATCATTTACTAAATGAACATCATGCTGTATTGAAGAAGACTTGAAACTAGAGATTGAGACCATAAACTCATGTTTACAATGTTTACTGAGGTAATAAATCAAGAGAGAAGTAGAGTCATTTTCTCATAGACTTCTATACAATCGGACTTCTTTTTGCAAACAAATGAGGCGTCCCCTGCTGGTCAGTAGAGAGAATGCACGTTTAAGACACTTCCGCATCTGCTTCACTCGGCATCACTGGAGGTTGCTGCCTGGAGTGAACACGTGCGAGTTTAATTCGTAAGTCGGGTTCCATTATGTGTCATTGTTTCTCCACCCAGGATCCCAATATCTGTCAGAGCTCTTTAAATCCAGTTCCCCGTCAGAAACACGACACAATATGGCTGAACAACCACAGCACAGTGGAGGCTCTGTTTCCTCCCCCCTCCCTCTCCTCTCCGCAAAAACTGGGAGAAAAGGATTGTTTTGAAACCAAGGAAGAATAAACAGAGGATTTCCCTCCTCCACCCAAGGACGTGCCTCTTTTTTTCACGAATACCAAAGAACTGGTTCCCCCCTCTCCGAACACATGCAAAACAGACAGGGCGAATACGCAAAAACCTAGACAGAAGGTCTCTGCCTCGCACCAGCACACACACGTTTATAAAACGACACACCCGAACCCACAACCCCACCGCCAGCTAGTTCTGGTGACGCCCGCAGCGGAGAGGACCGAGGCATGCCGGGAGTCATGCAGTGGCAGCTGGAGCTCGCTGCCCTCGGTCTGGCCCTTACCGGCTGGCTGTGTGCCATCCTCACGCGCTGCCTGGCCCTGTGGACGGTGAGCGGCACTGTGGACAACACCACGGCCACCCTGCCGGCCTACTGGGACGGGGTGTGGCTGGAATGGGATCACTGGGATTTGGCACACGACGGCAGTCTGCACTGCTCCTTCTACCGGTCCCTCATGTCTCTCTCTGGGAGCTTTCGGACGTGGAGGGCCCTCGTCATGGCCGCTATCGGGGCCGGGGGCTTCGCCGCGGCTATCGGGGCGGCGGGGGCCGTGTGGTTCCCCACGCGCGGCCAGGTCAAAGTGTTTTCTGGCGCCCTCTTTGTTGTGTCTGGGATCCTGCTGCTGGTTCCCACAGCCTGGACGTGCCACCACACCGGCCAGCCGCTGGAGGGCGCCGTGCTGTTGAGGAGGGACTGGGGGCCGGCGCTGTACCTCGGCTGGATCTCCTTCGCCCTGATGGTGGCCGGAGGGGCGTTTCTCGCCACCAGGTGCCCCACCGGTGAGAGGCCGGTAGAGCGGCCGGGAGACGACCCGAGCCCGGAGGAGGGGGCCAGTCACCCGCTGAGCCGGATCAACAGGACTACGTTCACACACAGCCAGTATGAGCGCAGGTCCGAGCCCCTCTGAGGGGGGGGGGGGGATATTTCTGGCTGCACGTGAGGAGTAACGATGCACCCACCTAACTGAGTGTGAGCATTAGAAAGTAGAAGCACATTTAACCTCTGACAATGTCACTGTAAAGACAGACACTCCTGTCTGTTTGCTTTACTCAGTGCAGTTATTGATACTAATACTGGTTATTCTGATACTTTTACTTCATTTAGTTTATATTAGTCTTAACACGAAATAAACGAAATTTGTTTTGAGGTGAATTATTCTGCACAAAAAGGACACCGTGGAATAATTTGCATTGCAAATGACTTAAAGGCATTTGTTTACCGGAGTTATTTGAATGGACTGGTTTTTAACTCATTGTGCCACAGAGCACTTGATGTGATGGTCATTTTGAAACACTGTAGTAATCTATTTGGAGTGTTTGTCTTTAAAAAATAAAAGAAATAGGACACATGATGGAAAAGAATCAGACAATGTCTTTTAGAGTGGGTCGATACATTTACAGACTATCCACAGTTGGGTGTACAATAAAGGACTTTATTAGAATTCTGTTTGCAGATCTACACCCATGTTTGGCGGGTATGTCGTGTGACGTCAGTATGTTACACTTTTCATAATAAAAACATTGTAATACGAAACGACGGTTCAGGGGTTGGAATGTATGGAATTCTGAGTTTAAAGAAAACAGAAATTGTGCCCGCAATCATTTAATGCAAAAAATAGGGAAAGTGCAATATGTGGAAAAACTGATGTTATCTTGAAAGCTTTCATCTTTGAATTCCCCTGTAAAATCACAGAGGACAAAGTGAGAGGTCCCTCTCTTTTACTGTGCACTTTTAAATATCTATTTTTAATCCTAGTTCACGGTGTGTGATGTAGTGCTGGGAAAACTCTTGGGGCTGGCTTTTGCATTTCATTTGTAATAAAGTTACTCTAGCAATATTTACAAACACTGTATTGTATTCTTTTCTGAACACTGAATATGTATATAATCATATCCGCCAGGCATAAGCCTGTAGTGAGATCATGCGTTCAGTTGTGTGTGTGTGTCTGTCTACGGCTAATCTTGCATGCTGCTGTACCCATCAGCCTGATATTTTCACTTCTCATTTATGACCGTATGCTCAAAGACCCCTCGTGGTTGCAGTGAATGTTTTTTTCTAACCTATTTGATACCGTCACAAAATGCAGACTGCTCACTGTTGAAGCGATCAACTACTTCAGTAGCCCAAGGCATTCATGGCCTTTGTATTGTCTCAAAAATTAACACCCATAGCAAAGTCTGATCTCATTTTGAACCTGAGCGTCTGCAGATTAATTCTATACCAGATATGTTATGATCCACTAAAGTTAGATGAATAAATCCGTTTTTGTTATCTTCGCTGCCATCTTGACTGAGGGCAGTAGGAGACACACCTGGCGGAGATCTGCAGATTACTAAGTGCACTTTTCTAGCTCTATATTGAGCTCCGTACAGCACATTCTCCTCAAGGGGCCCAACTGATGGAAGTGCTGTAAATATCACTGAGTGGGATGTTGTGCTTTTCCTGTCCTTAAAGCTGCAACTTATTTGGAGTTCTGCAAATCTGATTTAATTTGTTTTCCAATTAACTCTGTGTGCATTGGGGAAAATCACAGAGTTTACACAAAAACAAAAATATTTTGTTATATATTTATTTGCTGCATAGCAAGCTTATTCATTATGACAAAATATAAGTTATTAGTTTGAAGTAATTATCCGTAATACTGGGATTTCAGCATGACTACATGGCACACCATCTGATGGAAGGCAAACAAGTTCTGTTAATGGTAGAGGTACTGAAAAATGCTCAAACTAACTTTCAAAAATACATTCCATCCAGCATTCAAATCTGGCAAATGTTTCCTTCCCGTTAAACAAATCCTTTAATCATAGAGGGACTCAGAAACGGGAATAGCTGAGATAAGCATGAACCTCATCAAAAATATAGACTCTTAAATGAGTTTGCAGTTAGTGTGGATAAGGTGCAGAGTCCTGACTGGTCGGGGTTTCTAGAATTTCTCCTCTCCCTCCTCCACGTCCTTCAGACTGAGAACCTCCAGAGAACCTCGGCCTCTGGTCTCACAGCGGATCAGCTCATCGATCTCCCTGAAGCAGCCGGGATCCACCAGACACACCTGAGGTTGAGGAGAAGGACGGAGGCAAGGAGAGGAATGGAGACATTACAAAAAAAGAGAAGGTAAAAGTGTACATTTTAGATTATTCTCCCCCTCACCATTTCCAGCTGCTCATCAAAGTCTTCGCTCTCCACAACCTGCAGGAGCGGTTTCAGCTTCTCCTTCAGCCTCTTGGCCTCCTTGGCCGGCAGCACCAGCCGCAGCCTCATGTAGGCCCTCTGGATCTCCATGGACTCCTTCAGCTGCCGGATCACTTCCAGAGCCTCGAGGGGAACCACAGGCAGACGAGTTTGTCAAAAGTCGAGCAAAAGCATCGTCGTTCCAGATGAAAGTGAAGGGAAAAGCATTGATTTCTCCCGCATACAGAACTTAAAGATGGCTGCTCCTTCTTTGCCAAAACCTGACCATGTCACCAACAACAATAGTAAAACCCTTCTCCAAAGTGTTGCGTTAAATGCGTCACTGCCAACTGTAATTGCAACAACATGTTCACTCCAGGGTGGTGCTAGGTGAAAAGAAAACCTAGCAGGATGATACTATGGGGATGGAGGGGAGATTACCGGATCAGCAAGTTTCTTAATGCATTGGTCCTTTTCTCCTGAAGAGGTTGAAAATCAGTTATACTATCTGTTTTTTTCCCCGTTTTAAAAATTTAAACAATTACAATAGTCATTATTTTTGGGAAAAGACGTGGGTATACTGTTGTGGTTTGAGCAACACAAACAAATGCCAGTGTGAAAAATCACAATCCAGGTAATACTTAACATATATTTTATTGTTATTATAAAATGTATGGGCATTGGCTCCAGGGGACAGCTGTCGGAGTGAATTCATTCTTTGCAATGTCTCCAACTGATTGAAAATGAATTTGTGGTGGTCAAAGCAGAGGGTGTTCCTGGTGGAAAACATTGCATTCATTCGGTTACTTCCTGTTTTCTCACCTGCTGCTTAGTGCTCTTGTTGGCCTTGACAGAGTAGTGGATGTCCTTCATCGCCGCCTCAATGAGATTGACTGTATACGGCCTCTTGGTCTCAGGGTTGACACACTTCTCTGCCACGATAGTCGCGATGTCCCTGAACATCGTCTCCAGCTGAGAATGCCTTTCCTTGTCCGACACTTGGAGCTCTCCTTTGGCCAGGATCTGTCCGAGGGAAAAAAAGAAAAAGGCCAGGAAGTTAAGGCGAATACAGCAGAGGCCCTGGAGGATGACATGTGGGCAGGAAAATACTTCTTACCTGTTTACAGATTTCTGTCAGATCATCTGTCCCAAAAGATTTGGTCAAGTCATCCTTCTTAGCCACCTGACCTTTGGACACATTAACGAAGACGGAGTGCGTCTGAAGAACCTCATCCAGGTCTTTCTCTCTGGAAGAAAACAATGTGTGGACATTCAGAGATGGACACATAGATGGAGCATTAAACTGTCATTTATAAATCAAGGCAGCAAATGTCCGTTGACTTTAAGAAATAACTGACGAGACATTTGGGTAACTATTCGGTCAAATCATTTCAACAATGTGGGTGTTGACATGCAATGTTACTCACGCTCCCGCTCTCCAGTTCACAACTTTATTCTTGTAGCAGGCGATTTCAAACCGCTTCCCTCCCTTCTTCATCCGCACCACCGCCACATTTGTCAGTCGTATTTGGTTTGTTGGCGTAAATATAGACATATTTAGGTTTGTTAAGACAGAGTGCTCCGTCCAAAAGCTGCTGTTGACAAGAAAATGCTGTCAGAGAACTGCGTCGTCAATGCGCTACGAGTGCGTCGCCAAGGAGTGTCCGCCGTGAAACACCTACGTCGAACAACAGTTCCGCACCAGTTTTGTACCTTCAGTTGATTTCAATACTTTTGTGTGTTCATTTAAAAACCAACTAAATCGAAATAATTTATTAAAGGAAATACTAATAACTACTCGAGTGCATCAGGAACGAGTCCTAAAACCCTGAAATTAGTACTAATGCACTCCCGGTTCCCTCGTATCGAAGTCAACGTTTTTTCTAAATTGCTTCTTGGTTAGATGCCTAAAATAAGTTCCGTGTAACACAAGTTTAAGGAATGTTAAAGTTTGGTTCTACAGTATAAATACGCCAGTACATACCCTTCTCGTGATTTTTGAAGCTTTTACGTGTCTTAAAAACGCAGTTGCTAAAACTTGCTATATGAGACTACAAAACGTCATCACGCCGACTAGTCCGCTCTTACAACCTTGTTGTAGATACTCGCTGTCATGCGACCGTGGTGTAGTTCGTTAAAGGCAAGGCAGGGCAAGTTTATTTGTATAGCACATTTCAACAACAAGGTGATTCAAAGTGCTTCACATAAAACCATTAAAAGCATCAAAACATAAGGCAAAAGTAAAGGAGATTTAAAACATACATTGAAACAATAAAAACAGTTGTTAAAACACACACAAAAAAGTAGTGTTTTATCAATACAGTTTTATCAATACAGTTTTATCACATTGCGGGACTCTAACCCGGCCTCCCTGAGGTCTTATTTAGCGTGGGACTCCAACCCCGCCTCGGGACTCTAACCCGGACAATTGGACCCGGGACTCCAACCCGGTCTCGGGACTCTAACCCGAGACAGGGTTAAAAGCCTAACGTTAAGTACATTCACGCCTCACACATTATAAAAGTGGTGTTCATTTGTAAAGATAATTTTGAGGAATATAACTTGGAATTATCATAAACTTGTGTTTGCCACAAATCTTATTGTTTGCAATCTTTTATAGAAATCCAATCCTTTTTGCTGAGGGAACCAGCGCGACGCTAACTTCCGGGGTTAGCCTACAAAGACACGTCATACCTGCACCACACTGCTCTATTATGAGAAGAAACACGGTATAGTTCCTGTTTGGTACGTGTGTTTTGACGAGAGATCGACATATATTTTTACCACGATACCTCTGCTTTGAAAGTCCTATTGACTACTAGCGACTCCACAGAGAACTCCACTTCCCAGCATGCTCTTCGGTCAGAGACAGGTTGCACACAACATCAGCTGCACAGGACTGTGTATTTTAACACACCATTTGCAGCGATGCGGAGCTTCTTCGTGGTTATTACGCTCTGCATAAGTCGCGTATCTGCCTCGGATACTAAAGGTGAGTTTATTTTATATGTTACCGAAACAGGAAACTAACTTGGCGTTATGTTTGAGCCATTGCTTGTAACATAGCTAGCTAGCATGTATTGCTAGCCACCCGCCTTTTATTTACTGCAGGTGACCTAAGGTCGCTGCTTTAGGATTAGCAACAGGTGCCGCGTTGCATTTGTGCACGTAGTGAGGTTAGCCAACCGTTATTATTCATGAACATGAAAACGGAACTAATATCCTTTCTCCCTCCAGTCTCACAGGATGCCCTCAGTCCCGGTGAGAGCTATCTGAAGTCGGTGTGGCACAACAGGCTGTACTTGTATTCAGCTGCCGCGCTCGTCTTTGGGATCTGGTTCTCACTGAAGGTGGCTCTGAACAAGGTGAGCTGTGTTCACTCATGTGTTATAGCAGACATATTGTGCTGATTTGTGTGACTTTTCTAACCGTCTCCTCACTGGCTGCTGGTTCTCAGTTGAAGTGTGCAGTGACACTGCTCATGTTTCCAAACATGTTTGGACGTCTGTCATTGCATGAAAACGAAGATCCACATCCTAAGACCGGCTGTCATTTATTATCCTTATGTCTTTATTATTTCTCCGTCTGTATTTGCTTTTTAGAAAAAGTTCTCCAAAGCCGTGAAGATCAGCGACAACTCTGACGGAGACACTGTGGCTCACGTGTCCGCAGTTAAAATCTTCTATGGCTCACAAACCGGAACAGCAAAGGTACAGTCAGACACTGTTTACTGCAAACATCCTCACCGGCTCACGATGGCAACATATAGACAAGACGATGCTGTGATATGAGATGATGATCTACTGTAGATCAACGTTGGTGATGATATTCTCCATCACGGTGCGACTGTGGCTAAGTGGAGAGCACGGTCGTCCTTCAATCAGAGGATCGGTGGTTTGATCCCCGGCTCCGCTAGTCGCATGTCGATGTGTCCTTGAGCAAGACTAAATTGCTTCTCAAAATTCCCCAAATTGTGCCTACGGTGTATGAATGTGATAGAATCTGATAGGCAGGTGTTACTTAGACCCTACCATCAGCGTGTGAATGATGACAAGTAGTGTGAAAGCACTTTGAGTGGTCGGAAAGACTAGAAAAGCACTTTACAAGTACAAGTTAATTTACCATTTTACCATTACTCACCCTTTGTATTAGTACACTATAGTAGACAATATTTGAAATGCATCAAGTGCAACAACAAAGTCTGAACATAAGTTTTTAATTCTGGGCTCTAGAGGCGGGCGTAACACATTTATGAGTGAGAAGCTTCAGGTGGGACTTCTCATTGGTTCAGGGCTTCGCAGAAGAGCTGTCGGAGGAGGTGAAGACGATGGGTCTAACAGCAGAGGTGATTGACATCAAAGACTACGATCCAGACGATCAGCTCGCCGATGAGGTGAGCCCGGTCCCAAGAGAAGATGCTTTTTCCTTGTTTAGTAAATGACAGAAAGATGCGGTGTGTGGAGACATGTGGCCCTCGGCTAAAACCACTAAAGTTCAGAGCTGCACCCTCCACACGTAACCCAACAGATGATTAATTAATGCATCTGATAATTGTCGCAGCGAAGCCGTATGTTGCTCAGGTGCGTTAATCAAATCCCTATAGTGTAAGACCTGGTAACAGATTTATAGTGAAATAAATCGTACTGTGTACTTGTCATTGAACGCTTGACAACAAACAGCGCAGTAAAGCCTCAACCTCTTTAATGTGCCCGCTCAGCTTTGCCTCCATTTTTTTCCGCAGTGATTTGATTCCTCACACGGAGGACAAATGCATAAATCCTGCTCAGCTGAAGAAAGATGGATATTTTCATCCGTGTTCTCTTTTTTTATTTTAATTTATTTAGTGGCCCCAGGCACCATGTAGTGCGTTGAGAGAAGAGTAGGAGGTTTCTGGTCTGCTACACGCAGCAAGAGAGCAAACAGCTTTTTTTATTCAATAGGGTAGTGATGCAGTTTTTTAAGCGACGGCAAAGCTGCACAGAAGAAATGGCCGCCCGCAGGCACCAGTCGCTCCCTAGATGCAGCTGATCCTTGACCATCAGTGGAGAAGGCGCTGTCTGTTCGACAGCTAAGACATGAGACAACAGACTCAACCCTGAAGTTTCCTGTTTATTTACACGATGGGATGATGTTTGCTTTAGATGTAATCCAGATTGATTCTCTGCTGTCCTCCACAAGAGATGTTAGTCTTGGAGACGAGTCGGCAGAATTGAATTGTGTGTAATCTTGCCACTTGTTCATGGTGCTCAAGTGCTTTGCAAGATCTGTCTGTTTGTCCATCACTACCACCAGTAGATGAGGTTTTTTTTACTCGCATTCCTTTTTTATGTCCACGTTTTGCTCCGTTGTGGGCAGAAATGAAAAATTACATATTTTATTCCTCATGTTCAAATTTACTATTATGTTATTAACTGAAAGTATGGTTTGCCATTTTTCGTCGCCTCATATTTTGCGATTAAGAGCAATGGAGTGCTTTTACTTCACTGTGTCTGCTGTGTTCGCCTCTCTGTTCAGTGCACCAACAAGTCCGTCTGCGTGTTTCTCGTGGCGACCTACACCGACGGAGAGCCCACAGAGAATGCCGAGTGGTTCTGCAAGTGGTTGGAGGAGGCGTCCACCGACTTCAGGTACGGGAAGACCTACCTGAAAGGCCTCCGATACGCGGTGTTCGGTCTCGGCAACTCTGTTTATGTCGGCCACTTTAATACGGTAAGGAATGCTCTTCATAGTACGTATTGTCAGAATAATATGCTTTACTATCACTTACTTAAAGTATACCCACAGCACCAAGGTTGACAGTATGTTCCAGGTCCAAACTTGACTTAATGTGCACATCACCGCCGCCTTGGTCAGCATTCAGTAACTGTCACAAAAGCAGCAGCAGCCTGACTTTATTTCTTTAAACTCTATTTAACCCACTTTCCTTTATGCCTAACCAGGTGGGTACCAATGTGGACAAGTGGCTCTGGATGCTGAGCGGCGTGCGAATCATGACCAGGGGAGAGGGCGACTGTAATGTGGTGAAGAGCCGCAACGGCAGCGTTCAGGCAGACTTCCTGGCCTGGAAGGTCAAGTTCCTGCTCCGCCTCCAGGCCCTGGTCAAGGGGGAGAAGAAGAGCTGCAGCGGGAACTGTAAGACCGGAGGCTCCTGTACGAACAAGAGGAACGACGGACAGGAGGATAAGGAAGAAGAGAAGGAAGAGGAGAAGGACAACAGCTCTGAGGTAACGGCAGAAAAGTTGATTTCACTAAAGAGAGGCAAAGCCCCGCCCCATCCGGTGTCCTCCATGGGACCTTATTACAAAAGAAATATGTACATGAATTAACGAGAGACGCATTTTAAGTTTAAAAGATTATTTTGCATGCAAAGAAAGTTACATTTTGTCATACAACTATACTGAAAATGTTTAATTAGAAAGACTACAAACCCAAAAGTTGCTAAAGTGGCGTGTTTCTCTGAAGCTACGATGATAGTGTGTTTCCTACCAGGATGGACTCACACAAGCAATGGGTCTTTTCCCCCACTAATAATAAGAATCGCCGCTCAGGTAAGATAACGGGCACATGAGTGTGTGGAACAAAGCTAGCTAGCAAGCTCAGCTAACGGCCACGTTGGCGATGCGCATCGTGCGAGACGAGAGATGAGAGATGCAGTCCACTGAGCGGTTTCACGCAAAACAAACTGTGACTTTCTTGACGTGTAGAATTATCTTTAATCGAGATAAAAATATTATTTGTCTCTTGATTACCGTACATATTTTCTCTGAAATAAGGTCCTGTGGGACTGGGAGGGGAGGGACTTGTCCTCTCTACTGCGTTTTTAATGGCGCATTGTGATTTCTTCATAATGGGGGAACGAATAATCACACATCACGCATATAGCCTCTTAATTTTGCCTTTAAAGATGCATTTAACTGTAAAATGCACATTTTCTTCCTGGGGAGCAAGCAAAGACAGGCTTTAAGAAGTAGACGTAGTCATCGTGGCGTCACCCTTTGGCTTGTGGATTTGTCGTTTTAAAGCCACAAGTTTAACGTTTTGTCCGTCGCCGCCATCTTTAATTACGGCGGTCACCGGCTTTTTTGCAACCAGGGAACGGAAGTGACCATATTTGGACGGCAGAGAAGTGACGTAGAGACGTCTTATACGTCTCTGGTAGCGGCAACAACCTGTCAAGGTAGCCCCGCCCTAAAGCATACTCTGCTTTATGGTCTATTTAACTCTAAATGGACCATAATTTACTAAATGAACATCATACTGTGTTGAAGAAGACTTGAAACTAGCGATTGAGACCCTAAACTCATGTTTACAATGTTTACTGAGAGAATAAATCAAGAGAGAAGTAGAGTCATTTTCTCATAGACTTCTATACAACCAGACTTCTTTTTGCAACCAGAGGAGTCGCCCCCTGCTGGTCAGTAGAGAGAATGCAAGTTTTAAGACACTTCCACATCGGCTTCACTCTTCAGAAGCGGAGGTTGCCGTCTGGGAGCAAGTCCTCCGGATCCCTCCTGAAAGGTCCAGGTTCCTCTCACAGTGAAAGTTTGTGTAGTTTCCTCAAACAGTCTTCTGTTTGTATACGTCACGTGGACAGAAACTTTGTAAAACTCGTCTTGTTCATGTTCTTAGACAACCATGTCAACAGACATGAGACAACAGACAGAGCACAAATAAGCAAGTGTAGACAATTGGTGAGTATAAGAAGAGGCGGAGACCAAAAGGGTTGGAGATGTCTAATTAGGAAAAATGTCCTCTGGCTTACGATGAGGCCGTCCAACATCACAAAGGCACTTTAGATGTCGAAGCACCTCTCAATCACGGGAGGCTGAAGTTGGATGTCTGGGGCTAACGCCTGCAGTGTGATCTAAAGTCTGATCAGGAGTGTTACTCTGTTCATCAGGTCCTTATTTAGCAGCGCTGATTTTCATGGTGTTATAAATGTTCTGCACATGAAATGTGTCATCGCCGTCGAGGCCGTTCAACGTGTTAAAATATGAAAATAGCACTTTTTAAATCCGTTCCACAAGAAGAGCCGGTTGTCCGCTGATCACAAGGTTGGCGGTTCGATCCCCACCTCCTCCTGTCCACATGGCCAAGTTATCCTCGGGCGAGACACTTCTTCCCCGATGGTGGTAGCAGCACCTCACGCGGTAGCCTTCTGCCAACAGCTTTCATATGCATCACACACACACACACAGATGACCGGTTGTCATGGCAGTGGGCCCCTCGGAGCCAGCTCTAGCTGAGACTCCTTCCTTTCTCTGTCCGCACCGCCGATTGCACTCATAGGTGACATTGAACCAGAGCCACGAGTAGCCGAAAGCTGTGACGAGGGGACCATCATCGTGATGCATCTACCCGCTGCACCGCTCATCCTGCTGACACACATGTGGGCAGCAGCACTGTGATGAATAAATGCTCAGTCAACATGCACAGGTGTTCCCTGAATACCTGAGCATTTGCATGTAGTTAGTCGTGTTCCGGATCATACAAACGTTTTAATGGTAGTTTACCACAAGCTGACCAGCGTATTTCACATCGGCTGCTCTTGGTATTCCTGTGTTGTCACACCACATGGTAGCACATGCATGTTTACAACATAAGTGGCGTAAACGCAGAGTAAGTTCCTTTAAACGTGAATAGAAGTCACTGCTGGCTGGTAAATGTGGTAGTTTTTTATTATAATCTTATTCTATGATCAATCGGTCGTAATTTAGATTAGATGCCTGAACTAAGCTCTGTGCTTAACACAACCTGAATAGATTTTAAAGTTTTTTTTCTACGATGTAAACTTCGTCAGTAAATACCCGTCTGGTGAATTTAGAAGCTTTAAAGTGTCTTTGAAAAGGCGGTTGCTAACAAGTAGCTAAATGACATCGTGCAGACTCGTCCGCTCTTACAACCTTGTTGTGTGTGCTCTCGCTCATGTGACGGACACGTGGTGCAGTTCATTTACAGCCTAACGTTCGCTTTTACTTCTGCCGATTGCATTCATGCTTCAAAAGTAATAACGATGGTCTTCATTTGGGAAGATTTTCTTGCTGAACAAAATATGAAAGTATCATAAACTTGTGTTCGCCACAGAGCATATCTTCTGCAATAATCCAATGTAAACATCCTGTGTTGAGGGAACCAGTGTGAAAAATACGTCATCCCTGCAGCACTCTGTGGGCTCCCTCGCTTAATCATGGCTACGTTTTGAATTGGTTATAGCTCGGTCACCCGTGTCCTTCACCTTTTTGTTTTTATTCACCACATTTGGGGCTTTCTCGTCGTCTCCTCCTTGTTTCAGGAGGATCTGGTGGAGTCCAGCAGTGACGAGGAGGAGTCTGGCCTGCAAGATGAGAAAAACTCCGGCTCAGTGGTTGACATGGAGGATCTGGGCAACATCATGAGCAGTGCCAAGAGAGCAAAGGTCAGACTCTGTCCACAGCGACACCACCTTTAATTATTAGTAATGTATAAGCCTACAGCTGTTTGCTGACGCTGAGGCAACACCTCAGACAGAAATAACACGATGAAAGTGAGCACTCAGAAGTGAACACTGTACTTGTACATTTGAGTTTGATTTGCAGTACTTAGCTGCCGGCTCACAATATCACAGGGAGGTTGTTGAATCATTTGAAGCTGGAGCTTCCGGTCGTCATCCAGCAGGTTTATTTTCAGCGTTTCTGCGTTGAGGTCTGCGACCGGGCACCAACGAGGCACTGAGCTTCCACCACCTCGGCTCTATCCGAGCTAGCAGAAAGTGGTGTCACTGAGGGAGTAGTGGCAGATGGGCTGATAGACACCAGGCCCCCGGCAGGCGACAAGCGCAGGCTTGCGAAAGAGCGACGACGCCCACTTCACAGACTTGTGAGGAACGAGTGACTCAAGAGAAAGCGGTAAAAAACGTGAAGGAAGAGGCTTCGTCGGCCTCCTTCATATGCAGCGAGAGGACTGAGGCAAAGAGGAGAGAGAGGGGAAGGAGAAGACGTGTAGGTTCTATGTGCTGTTAGAGCGGCAGATCGTTGTGGGAAGAGTCCTCTTGTACGTAAAATCAGAGTGAAAATGAGTACGTTGCATCAAACGATCAATCCAACGATTTCAAGAAAACACCCGTGGTTGCCATAAAGGCCTTTTAGAGAGAGAGCCTGTGACTTTTACTACAGGCTCGCTTATTAATGTAATTAAAGACTTTCTTCTTAATGCACCTCTTTAACAACAATGCCAAAATACTGGTCTATGTTCTTATAGTTTATTACGTTTGAGTTCCTGCGCTTTCCAGTAATCCTTTGTTCATTCTCACTGTTTTTGCTCCAACTCCTTTTTTATACAAATATCCCTCTTCATCTTAATCTGAGATGTGATTAATGTTCCGTTTACTTTTAGCCGCTGTCTACTTTAAAATGATATCTGCCTGCATTGTGTCCAGCTCAAACTCCTGCCTCAACTGGAAATGATTAGATCAAATGAGATAAAAGTAGATAAGATGAGATATGTCTTTATTGGTCAGGTTGTGCAGCACAAAGCCAGAAATAAGCTGATAAATGGGGAAGTAATACGAATAAATAAAATGAGGCCAAAAGAAAAGTTCGGTCAAATTCATCTTAACTTTGTTTATTGTGCCTTAAAGTGTGAGTGTAGGGAGGTGGAGAGAGAGTCTGCCAACTTAACTGTATATAAAATGATTTTCCAGGCTCTGGGTTATTTCTCATGTGTACTTCTGCTCTCATGAAAACATAATTCTGTTAGTTAACGTGCTCACGGTGCTGTGTCTGCAGTGGGAGTGACTTCAGCAGCAGGCTTGTCCTTGCTCCTGTGACATGAATATTGCAGCATCCTGTGTGTGAGCTCTGCGAGGGTTGGACGGGCCCGTCTGTGTACGAGCGTGTGAGGAAGAGATATCATTTAATGGCTCCAGGGGCCCAAGATGCTCGGTACTGCTCAGACGGAGCCAGATCTTCATTTTTAAACTTTCACGAGGCGTTCGCTTCATTTAGTTTTTTCACGAGGACGCCGCGTGTTCCTCCCGTCATTCCCTTCCCCCTGAGGATTCTCCTATTTATTCTCGTAATGGCCAAACGCACACTTCCATGTCACCTGGTGCACGTGTGCTCTGATGGGCTACCTCGCCTCGCAGCGTTTTAAGTATGATCGTCTGCTGCGATGGCTCGTATCGTCGCGCTCTGATGTCAGGATGACGATTCTGCCGTTTGTCTCTCCGTGGTGACAAATCAGTGTTGGTTTTCCTGCATGATTTGGTCACACGGAGCAGACGGCGAGATGTAATTAGTTTGTAGATTAAACGTTTGCCGAGAGACAAGTATTTAGCCGAGCTGCAAATTAAGTGCGAACAAGGAAATTCCCCCAACTCCAATATGTTAGTTAGCTCATTTACAGCGTGCAACCACATCTGTTTTGCAGTTAATGAGCTGAATATGTTGCAGGTTTTTGTTTTTCATCTATTGAAGGCTGAGTATGATGTGTCTCCGTGTCGCAGTGTTCTTATAGAGCTGCAGTGGGAGCTCACTTTGTTTGTGTTTGACCACTAGGTGATGACAGAGGCTCTCTGTTGCAGGCAGCTCGCATCTCACTTCAACACCACACTGACGGTTCACTCCCAAAGCTATACGTGCATGAACTCTATCAGCTGACTCTTCATCTGAGTCTGTGTTCAAGTGCTTCCAATCGGGCTCGCTGAGTGTTTTTAAGTGACTTGACCAGGATTATGTCGAGGTGGTTTTTAGGGTTGTAAGTAAATATCGATCCACTCGAGTATCACGATATTGTGTTTTATGATTGAGTATTGATCTGACGTGGACTCGAGGTTCAACTTATTAGAACACATTTTGGGCCAAAACTCAATAATTGATATGCTTTTTATGACTATTTTGCACAAACAATAGGATAAAATGATGAAGTGATGAGTTTTTGGACAGACGTGGATAAACTGCAACTTGACTGTAATTGTAGTGAATTCAGATTTTTATGCATATTTTATTTAAAAAATCACAGTATTCCTTGCTAATGTATTGAATAGCAAACACTGTAATGATACGTATGCCATCACCAGATTCCTGCCGATACACAGCTCTGTGATTTACAAACCAGTCAAACAACAAACTACTTTTGTTCATGTCACTGTGCTTTAGAGCAATCGTTGCCAAAGATCTCCCAGACTGAGGATGCAAATTTCTCACATTTTAAAAAAAAAACAGGGAAAAAACCCGATTTGATCAGGAATGAGGGGGACTGGGTTACTGCTGAACTTGATGATGATGATACATATGTTTGTTTATCACAGTTCATATTGCCCAACCAGTCCATATCAGGCTTTGGCTACAGTTCTACTCGTGTTCTGCCGAGTGCCAACCAGCTTCATTTCCATCGTTTCTCTAAATGATTTTGCACAAATGTTTGTCGCATCGCCATCTAAACTTTGTCACTGCAGGTGTCTGTTTCTGCCAGAGCGGTCCATTTCATGCCGTAGGGGCTGCTGCCAGATGGGAGTTAGTGTGGAACGGATCATTTACCCGAGCGGCCACACAGATTTCCTGGGCTGGGTTGTTTTCAGCTCCGTGTCCAGAGGGAGAAAGCAGAGATGAGCTACTCTGACTGAAGGGCCGCTGTGTTGCCCCATCCAGTGTAAAATGATTGGGGTCTTCTAGCCTGTCTTTTGTCTTCTAAATATGTGACAATTAAGGGAGGTTGTCAGTCAGGTTACATACTGACAACATATCTGCAATAAGGGACCTGATACATAGTTCCACCCTTCAGACATGTTTTAAGTCACATAAATATTTTTATTATCCCTTATTGGAAAAACCCAGAATCTATAAATCTGCATTTTAGATTATTTCAACTAATTAAATCCCATTTTGAATACAATTAAGAACTCGCCGTCCCGTTTGTTTTTTTACGTTTACGTGGCAGCTTGGATTCGGTGGCGCAAAGGCCCGCAGATACAATCACCCGCTGATGAAGAAGTTTACGTATACACACAGAAGTGGAAAGTATAACTTTCGATTAAGGCAGGTCTGGGTTAGGGCTGAATTAGAGAACACTTTTCTTTTTTCCAGTATGTATAAACAAATTACGATCTTGGTGTTTGAGGCTTTATTGATTTTAGGGCATTCCTCGATCCAAAAAATGTGTTGATTCATTAATTTAATCGACAGATCTGCAAGATTGAGTTTCTCCACAAAGAATCACCCAAAAGTACCATTTTAAATATTGTGTTTGGCAGACATGTGCGTGTAAGTTTCTTAGAAATGAGTCATTCAGCATGGAAAAAAATCCTCGTTGACTAAGACCAAAATGACAGATTAGCCCTAATTTATCTCAGTCTTCTTTTTCTACCCGGCGCCCTCTTCTGTACTCTCCCTCACACGTCCACATCATGCCTGTCCCATGATCACCTGCTTGCTCCGCGTGCTATCGCTGCACCGTCCAGCCGTCATCGGCCCCCATGTAGGGTCACGGTTCCAGAGCACAACGTGGTGCTGTGAGATGTCCCAGTTCTGTTGGTCCAGACAGGCTCGGGCCATGACTGGACGTCTGTGAGCCCTCGAGCGAGAGGGCGAAAGCCGAGCAGCGGGAACCAGAGGCGGCGGCCAGACAAATGTGGAGGGTTTGCACGCGAACACCACGGGGACAGATTGTGGCACCGTTGGCTACACATTGCGTCTGCTGTCAGAATCTTGCATGTCACGGATGTGGAGTTTAGATATCTGCTGTTTGAGCCACAGCCTGTGATAGAACATTTCATTGTGTTGTATAATGTTGTACTGTGACTTGGTTATATGGTTTATTCTATGTTTTACTTACTACTGTACTGTATGTCGGCCACCGCTCCCTTCAAAGGAAGAATCTGGAAGGGAGTGCTGCGAGCATGTTTAGATTAATCATAAATCTACACTCTCGTGAGTGTTGTTCAGAGTAGATCAGTCGTAGACCTTTGATGTAGGGAGTGCAGATAGTAATCACTGAGTGTTTAGCTTCGAGGTAGTAAACCACAGGATCTATAGATTAGGATATGTAGTAAATGTTTTATTGCAGGTACTGTTGTAAAATGTGTAGATTAGAAACAAACCAGATGTCTTGGAGAAACACACCTTCCCCCCCTTCTCTTTTGATGCTCTGACCCTTTAAAAGTGTACTCAAACGGCACACAGGTCACTCTCTCCATCCCACAGACAACACAGCCACTCTGTGTGATGATTGAGTCTTCTCTGCGCAGAGAATAAATACCTTTAAAGGTTTTTGTTTTTCTCGGGTTTCCTTATTTCAGTGTTCTAGGACTCACTCGGTGCTATTGAATCGTTTTTTCCACCACAATCCTCCTGCTGATGGTACCTCCGGGTGGCTGATGCTTTCCCAGAGCGACTGCTTGGTTGAGTGACTGTGCACCTGCACTGATAACTGGGATGGAGCATGGTTTATAGCTTCCTTTTGAAGAGTGGTTCTCTCACTTTGATGGCTTACTTATTCACAGAGTGTCTGTTCATCCAAAGGGCTGAGCACTGCTGCTGTTATGGAATGTTTGGGCAGAGGCCGGTTAATGGCGGCCACACACAGAGCTGCTGGATAGCTACATGGGCTCACATTCTAGATGCATTGTCAGGTTTTGTCAGATACAGATGGGCTCTGAACACTGGAGGTCTTACTCTTCTTCTCTTTTATCAGCTGTTTAGTCATTTAAAAAAAACTAAAACGTATTATTTATAAATTCTTCCAAAGTTTGAGAGTTGCCATAAGCAGATGAAGTGGGGTCAGACCTTTCTTAAGCGCTGACGGGGCTGTGGAGGAAGGTCTGGCCATGCAAGACTAGTAAAGACCAAAACGGAGCTAAAAACACATAATATGGGATTTTCATTGACTAAGTGGAAACAAACGGGACTTCAAATGAGTTCTAAGTAACAGCAGCTCTGTATTCTGAGGAGATCACTGACTGAGTGGTGATCAGACTGTCTCGGCTCGATTACAGCAGCACCGGAATTGGATGGAGCATTGTTATCCTCGAAGGCACAACGCCTCTCTTGAAAACTAATACCTGTTCACATGCACTGGGCGACTTTTGTAGCAGGACTTAAGCTTCTGTTGTGTCTGGATTTTTAGAATTGGATTCAGAAAAGGTTTTATTTGCAAAATCCAACTGCAGACGGTAAGAAACTGTCCTGCAGCCAATCCCCTTCTCAGCAGAGCAAATGATGCGCTGCAGCGTACCAGACGCTGATGGAGGAGCAGAGGATGGACGCAATGATGGCAGTGAAGAAGTGCACCATCATTGTCTTTGGCAGGTTGAACTTCTTCAGCTGCCTCAGGAAGTGCTATTTACATACAAATGCTTCACACGGCAATAATGTAATCCTGACCTGAAGGAAGTCGTTGGGCTGCAGCAGCCTGTGGTATAAAGTCCAACAATCGTCGTCTTGTTATGCCGGAGACCTTTTGTTGTGTTTCCCTGCACCCCTTAAACCCAGATAACCCTGCCCGGTCCCGACACGATGATGTCCCTTTTTATTCAAAAAGGCTTGTGTCATGCAGTGGTTATGTGGCACACTGCAGAATCTCCACCCTTGATCTTCAGTCAAATCCAACATCAAACACTTTGAAAGGAGCTGCTTTTAACTCTAGAGTGGTGAGCGTCAAATCATGAAGCAAGCAAGACGCCACATATTCCAACTGGCTTTTTAAGGTCGCTGTTTTCTACTGTTGGAGTTAAAAAAGATCATTGTACTTCTGTTAAACTCTTTATTCCATTGACCCTCTCTGTTGCTGTTGATGTAACATTTCTGAACTCTCATCTTAGATCCTGCAGCGGTTTAATCGGTATCAACATTTCAGGACTTTGAAGTGAAGATAATGCCTCATTTGCATGTTTAAACATGCATTTTCAGACATCACTATTGGTCTTTTGTATTTACAATTTGAAAGATCACGGTTTATTATTTAATAGTTGTGACAGACGCCGGTTGTAACCTGAGCAAAACCGGCAGATTATTTTTCAGAGATGCTGTCCCGGTTGTAAAGCATACGTGACTCTGAGTCGTGCGTCTTCCACAGAGCAAAGAGGAGGGTCGAGGAGACGGACAGTTGGTGAAGCTATCCAAGTTGAATGGAGTGAAGAAGGTTGAAGATGAGGGGGAAAGAAGGGAGATGATCACCCCTGCCCTGAGAAAAGCACTGACCAAACAAGGTGAGGAAAGTGGAGGTTAGGATTCAGTTTACAGGAAAAACAACAGAAAGTTGTGTGAGTGGTGGTGGGACTCTTTGACTGGAGTGTAAAACTTTGACCATTTCCAAAAAAGAGCATCTGCTGGTGTCAGCGGTGACTCTATAATATATTCATAATATCTAACTGCTAAAAAAATCACATTACGGACCAGCTGCTTGTCAGAATATCCTTAACCTTCCTGTTTCCACAAGGGCAGCAATGCTGTAATTCACTTTAAAACATGAGTTATGAGTCACGTCATCTTTTTAATATTCCACCATTAAATCTTACCGACGTACACAAATATCCAGGAGAGAAGTCAATTTAGATTTTTTTTTTTATAAAGAATATCTTTACTGGTCTTTTTTTAGGATGTGGGGGCAGAGTGGTAAGACATGCAGCAAAGACTATGTTCACACTGCACATATTTTTGTTGTTGTTGCAAATATGTAAATTTCAGAAAGCGTGACCAGCAGGTCTGATTTAATTATTATTATTTTTGCAATGCGACGTTAGTCTGGACAGCCATATTAGACTTCATGCAACCTTTACATCATGTTAGATCGACTTCTGCTCTGGTGGGAATCACTCCATTCACGTCTCGATCCCAACCACTCCTGTCTCCCACTCTCACACACACACACACACACACACACACACACTGTACAGGAAATAAATGAATCCTTAAACGCTGATTTCAGTGGCCCTCCATGCCCTCCTGTAGGACAGCGTGCTGCGTGTCCTGATATTGGCCACATATAAAAAAGAAAAATGCATCTGGCTAATAGATCAGAACTGAGCTCTATGGCTTGCAGTGTAAACTTGGCCAAAGGGCCCGAGGCTGTAATCAAACCAGGGACATTGCAGTTGCACCATTCTGCTACCGAGTCGCTCCACTGGTCTCAAATGCTAATTAGTGCGGCACACCACGCAGAAGTGACTGCTCGGATTATGTTTAAATTAATCAGCTGATGAAATGGCATCCCTGTGTTCCAGTGTTAATAATGGCCAATGTTCTAGCACCTGATGATGACCGTCAAGTTGAGTCAATTTTATTTATACAGCCCGATATCACAAACTTACCTTCGGGGAGCTTTTCAATCTATAAAGCATACGACACACTCGTATCCTTTGACGCTCGCTTCGGATAAAGAAACACTCCAAAAAAAATCCCCTTTTAAATCCCTTTCATTCCAAATAAACCTCAGAGAGAGCAACAGAGGAGAGATGTGTGGACAGAATAGGCCGATGTAATAAAATGACAACATTCCAAGAGTCTCACTTCTCTCTCCTCCCACACCAAACCCAAACATGATGACCCGAACGTACCGGCAATATCACTGTCAACCCAGTATTTCTAAAAGTAGGTGTTGGGTTTAAATTGGATTAAGAATATGTGAAATTATGTGGTGGAAATGGTGTTGCCTGTGAAAGTTGGGATGTATTGTAGTCAAGTGTTAAGTGTGGCTCAGCATTTATGATATTACCTTTTGTGTTTTGGTAAGTGAAGCCTCATGGAGTTTATCCGTATGTTCTCCGTGTAGGCGTTCGCCTCCCGTAAAGCTTCTTTAGTTCTGTCTGAAACATTTCACTATCTCCTCTCTATTTAGTCTATTCTCCAGTACAACACAGGCCAGCCATTTGCAGCCAGTTAACCCCCACTGTTGGCTCACACAACTCTCTATAAATAGGACTCTGTGAGCAACACTTCACTTCATTGGACCAAATGTTGACCTGCTTCATGTTGGCACCGGTCAGTCCCGGTTTGACGGCTTGTTTCATGTGCAATGAAAGAATAAAGGATGAAAGTGTTGGCATTGTTTAAATGATGTTGGGTCTTTGAAGGCTGTGTTCCCTGTGTAGCCTTTTCCTGGCATGCCATGGATGCAGAAGTCATCGAGACTGTAATGTCCAATAATAATGCTGCACATTTAAGAAAACCGTTTGCTGAGACTCAGGAGACTGTACATAGAATCCGTTTGTTTGAATTTGTATTTGTGATGATGAAGAGTGAACCTCGTGGGCTGGCGTCCATTTGAAATAGTCATGGTAACGGGTTAGAGCACATGTATCTCTTCAACTATAATCAATGGTGAACGCTGTTTATTATTTTAATGATGTAAAAACTGGCACATCTGCTGCAAGTTTTAACAAAACAATGATGCCACAAAACATTAAGTTACATTTTACATTTTAAGAATATTCAGGCTTTGTTTTTATTCATTTTAAATTTCTTTATATTCCAATTCCACACAACCAGAACACGAAATAAAACTGTCTCCGTTAACATTGTCTGTGCAGTGTCCAGCTCCTTTAAATGGGAGGGGAAAACCCTGCTGTTTATTCTGGCATAATGTCGAGGTCAGCAGAAATGATTGAGGTCACGTCCATATATCCTAAAAGTCAATAACATAATAATCGCGACAGGCCTACTCTCACAGATAAAAGTATAGTTGAAACATTAAAAACATATGATGTCTTCTTTTTGATCTCTTTTCTCCTGTGAGATCCTGAGAAAAGAAGAAGCTGCCGACCTCTCCAAACAAATTAGGCTGATGTTCCCTCTCTCAGATGAAACACGTTCCCTCCCTCGTTTTATTTCCCTCAGGCAGCTCAGAGTGGAGCTCAGAGTATCAAAGTATAAATTGTTTGCTGAATTGCCAATAATGTTGTCTTTTACTTGAAGATATTTAAGTCCACAGTTGGAGTGGATCTGTATTGCGTTTTGTTCGATACGGATCGAAAGCTTGTGGGTAAGAACTCGTTTCTATTCAGCAGCTATTTGTAGCAGCAACTTACCCTTTAAGTGGCAAATTGATATAATTAACTACTGAGCGCACACGCATGCATGCACTTAAATACCTGTGCACTTGCATTCTGTTGTTGTTATGATGCCTTGATATTGATGCCTGGCACAATCTCTCAGACGACAGTGAAGAGGGAGATAGAAAGACATTTATCTCCCCCTCCCCTTGGCCCCGAGCCTCTCCCCCGACTCATTGAAGGGCACGGAGGCATTGGAAATCGATTTCCCCGAACAAACACAGGAGAGGGAAACGTTGCTGATCATTAATGCGTAAATAAACTGCCAGTGGGTCCAGGGCCTTACCGTGGCTTCCACACTCGTGTTGGCCTGGGAGTGCATATTTTTGAATGCGTCTTGCAGTCGCTGGGAGCAAGGTTAGTGGAGGTCGTGTTTTTCAGGTGGCAACTTGGTGCTGGTCAGCCAACTTCTTTTTGCCCCAAAGAAGAAATGCACGACAAACAAAAACGGAAGCATTCTGTGTGTAAGCTCGTTCTACTTCTCTAAAGAACGTCTTCGATCAAAGGTTGTTCCATTCAGCTGGTGTATCAAAAATGAGTGTTTTCCCCGTTCAGCCTTGATGAATAACGTTTGTATTTGACTCATCTAGCATCAAACTGACACAAATACCCTGCTGTGTGTTTGATTGGATATTGCAGCTACAAGGATTTAACGGCAAAAAAGGTTTGAAAATAAAGAGCTCCCACCTGAATTCCACATCAATCCTGTTCCGTCGCTGCTCGGCTTAACTGGAAAGTCTCTTTTGAGCGTCTGGTCTTTTAAAAAGTGAGCCCTTCTTGATTCCCCTGGAAGCCGTCCCAATATCATGTTCCGGTATTTCTTGAGCAGATTAAGGGATACAGATGAAGCTATTCCTTTTGTTAGACATCACAGAGGAGGATGAGTAAAAGAAGAAACGCAAGCCTGCAAAGACCACCAAGTGTAGCCATTCATAGCCAGTGGTATTAGGGCCGCGGTGGTATAAGAGGATAGAGAGGCAGACCTGTGAAGTACTTTAATCCTCCCTTTGTGCTGACGGAGAGTTTGAAATGCCGTCGCCTCCTTCTTTCTGCTGACGTGCTTTACTGGAGATGTTCAGTAGCCTCCGAGGACTGACTGAGTGTGACTTTGTGAATGTTTAGCAGGGCTCTGCTGATGAGTACAACTACAACTTTTCTCTGCTCTGGGTCAATGAGGTGTTTACTGCTCTTCTCACATGTTCTTTCTTTTTCTCTCCTACAGGGTACAAACTCATTGGAAGTCACTCGGGAGTGAAGCTTTGCCGATGGACCAAGGTAACTGGGGGTTGACTCCTCCATAAAGCGTTTTACTTTATTTCTTTACCGAATGCCTGAATGACATGAAAGCTGTTGTTTTCTGTTGATCAGTCCATGTTGCGAGGGAGAGGAGGCTGTTACAAGCACACGTTCTATGGCATCGAGTCCCACCGCTGCATGGAGACCACGCCCAGCCTCGCTTGTGCCAACAAGTGTGTGTTCTGCTGGAGGTATGTACCTGCAGGGTTTGGTGTATGCAAGTTGATACTGAAGTGGACATGTTCAGTTTTTAAAGAATATCTCCCATAACCCCTGCAGTACTCCACAGTAGCCCTAGGGGTACTCGTAACCCCATTGGAGACCTGGCTCAGATCAAACTGTCAGACTTCAGATAGCAGTCTTAATTCATCTGTTGCACAAAGCTGTCTGGTTCATGACCATCAAGTAAGACTAATTTGCTATGAATTCTGGGTAAAATAAGACTGCAGACCAGTCTGTAATACATGTGTCTAACTGACCCCGGGTGTCCCAGCGATGCAGAATTGAAAGCGTCTTTAGCTTCTGCACTGTGATGTATTTCACAGAATATTTCAGCGTACAGTTTTCAAGAGGGATTTAATTAAAATCCTTCACATTTGATTGCAAAGTGGGCGGGCTTAAGGGCGATACGAAGCTACAGAGGAGCTACACACACCTACCTCACAGTGAAAATGATTGATTTTATATATGTATTTATTATGATATCCAAACACACGTCTCTTCCTATTTCTCCATATTGCTCCATTAGCTACTACCGCCCACATACGGCAAAGTTTGGTTTTGTATGACCAGTGTGGCTAGCTAGTCCCCCAAAGTCTCATTTGATTGGATCTTTTTTTGTTTTTGTAAACACCTGTGAGTGCAGGATGAGCCATCAAGCAGCATTAGAAAACCGTAACAGAAGCTAGAGACACCCTAACATCCGTTTCATGGGGACTTTAAAGTGAAATTTCCCAGTTTCAATCAGCTCTGTTTAATGGCAGCGAGTGCAGCCGAGCAGAGTTTGCTCCCGTCCCCCGTGCTGCCAGCATCCGGAGCTCCGTCAGACCAATGAGCGGGTAGCTCGAGGCGCTGGAAATACTGAGGGAAAGCCAAACCCGAACCGGTTAATGATTTACGCGCAGGAGACGAATGGCCGGCATAACCGCGAGGCCTAAAGGTGGACACTGATTCATCGTGACAGCGGCGAGAGACCGAGGCCTTTCTCTCCCTTTCTCTCCCTTGAGTTCCTTTTTTTTTTTTTGAAACATCGAGCACCGAAAGGTCGCCCCGAGAGTGTGCCTCGGCGACCTGCCTCCCTGTCACCACAGATACGCCGGTCTCCTTTCAGACGGCTATGTGGCGTGACAGGAAGTGAGGTAATTTCAGGGCACAGATGTAATCTCGCTGCTGCCCTCACCAGCCACCTCTTTGTAGCAACAGGTGGAATTAGATTTGATGTGAGAGGCCGGCATGCGTGTGTTTTTTACTGTGTGCATATGCATGCAACAGACGCGATGCCTTCAGGATTTGTTGTTGCACCTAGACATCACACTTAGACAGTCAGAAGGTGTTATTCACACCCACCGGAGGTGCCGTTGTTTTACAGTATGATGCATTTTTTCATGTTTTTATACGGTTAGAAATTGAATAGAATTATCACCTTGTTGGAAAGACGCTCATCGATCTAAATCAGAGGAACACGCGCATATGTGGACTCTGCTGAGTTACAATTTGGTGCATCCGGTCACAAAAGTGGTATTAAAAAGACAAGCGCAACCACGACCGTAGTGCCCCAGCAGACAATGAACAACTGGTGAAGTAGCATTGGTTACAGTGTGTCTGCTGTTGTGCTTTACCTGCACGCCCCACCAACAGACATCACACCAACCCCGTGGGCACAGAGTGGCGCTGGAAAATGGACCCCGCTGAGAAGATCCTGCAGGAAGCCATGGAGAAGCACCAGAGCATGATTCGACAGTTCAGAGGTTCGTCTTTTAGAAAGTCACACATGCAAACATGAGCGCTCTCTCCCGCTCCACCTCTTGGTATAACTCTGTTTCTCTAGCCGTCTGTTTATCCGTCCATCAGTGGCACTGTTGACACACATTTCTGGGCTCCATTAGTACTTGCGTGTACTCACACTGTTGGCCGTTGGGACTTCTTTTCTCTGGCTGCTACCAGCTTTGGCTGAGGACGGACGGTTGGACGCCCAAAGCTCAGTCAAAACAGATTTAGTGATCATCCTGTGAGTATTCCCTGAGCAGGTTTTCTTTCAGAGGTTTTGGGAAATGTTGTCAAAACATGGTGGTAACACAGTAATTAGACTTTTATTAAAGCAAACAATTACTGATTGAACAATATTTTTTCATCCCAGAATGATTTAAAGCTTTTAAACGAGATCGTCACTGCAGCTAATGTTTATAGTTCTTAGAGATTAATCCAATGATACGTTTTACTTAATAAAGCAATTAAAGGTGCTATACACGAGATTGGGAGCAATTTTATTGCCCTTTTAACATGACGACAGCAAACCGGCAGCTCGCAGCTAACGGTGCTAACGGTGCAAACTGTGGCGACTGACGGAGCTAACATTTAGCATTTGCATTTATTTGTCTGATTGTGAGCTGCACAAAGGGTTACAAACTCAGAGAAGCCAGTACCAACAATTATCTGGCTATCGCACTGCGGCCTACTTTAAAGATTCCACCTGTAACGGACAGCCTTAAATTCCACAAGGCATACAAACTCTACAGTAGGTTGACATCAAAGATGTTGGGCATGTGTGACTCTACCTCCCAGCAGAAGTATTCTCAAAGGCCCGGCTTGATCCCGCGACCTTGCAGTCAGAAGGCTGCCTCTCTAACCTCAAAGTCACTGCCGAACCCATCGTATAACAGAGAAGCAATTGTACTCGGGAAATAATACAGATGCCCAATGCTGAAAGCTGAGGTGTATCTTCTTCAAAGGGCTACTTCATAGATGATATCCTTCTCAGAGCAGTTATTCATGATGTATTATAATGAACGTCATCATGGAAAATGTCCTTTCCTGATGTTATTATAATGGAACAATAGTGCACATAAGCTCATGTTGACAGTAAGCTGGTTTTTAGTTCACTTAAAGTAAAAAGTAGACAAAGGCACAAAAGGGATTACAGCTGAGACAGAGTGAGGAAATAAAGAAAAGCACATTTTCAGATGCTTTTACGATGCAGCGCTTTGCAAGTCTAATTAGAAACGTACGAGAGCAAAGTGCAGGCCCGTATAGTCATTATCACCCAGAATGTATCTTTCCAGTTGCTCCACAAAATCACATTAGGCAGCCTTCAACTCCATTTACAGTGATGCAGTTTTTTTAAATGTCTAGCGCAATGAACAATCCAGACAATGCCTCTGAAAACCCACAGTGTAGTTAAACAGGTTGGTGTGCTGACAGCCTGACGGTTACAGTTTAAATGAATGAAAACAACGTGCTGGAAGTCTCAAGAAGCATATTATTTTTGCTCCTGGCCTGCTGTTTTCTGTTCAGACCACGGTAACTGAATACGGCTGATGAAGTCATTTAGCTCCGGGTATCCGCCACAGAAGGCCTTTTCAATCCATCCGATTGGGCAATCAGTAACAACACCGACGCCGGCCTCTTTACTGCTCTGAGTTTATTTTTCGTCTCAACTTCAACAAGTGTCCAGAGCGCTCCTGCTCCTCTTTATGTTAAACTATAAAACGTTTTGACCGGTAGTTTATTTGATGGTGCATTTTACATCCATCAATACTTCGGGTATGATACAGTACATGCTCTTTAGCTGGCCAGGAACTCAAACTGAGCGTGTGCTCTCGACCAATGCCATGAAATCCACAAGAGCTTCCTTTAATGCCGGCACATTTGCAGGAAGAAGCTTTGGTCGATGTTCTAACTTTCGCCGCGACGTCGACTTATGAATGAAATAGTTCTGTGATTCTCTTGGCTACAACAACCCAGCACTTATCATTTTTAAAAAGACGTGTCTCTTAACTCGCACACCATGAACAAATTCAAACAAGGATATGAACTCTTCAAAAAAGGGGATAATGACGTCTTAATCATCGTCTGTGATGTCGAACCACAAGAAGACGAAGGCCGAGTCCAGAGGACATGGTAGGTCTTTGGTAATAGTTCTTCCTTTGATTCAATTCTGCGGCTTCATAGCAGTCACCGTAATGACACAACGGCCCAAAAGCCCTCGAACAAGGGAGGTAACTGAGATGTAATGGGATTTGACATTACGAACATGAGATGTATACATTGAATGAGGTCCCACTCACTTGACTCACACGCAGCATCTTCTCAGCTGGTAGTTGTGAACAGAGTTCAGCGGGGTTTCTCTTCGGGGACGGTTCGTCTTTGTCTTCGGCAGCTGTTGCAAGATGTGATTTGTCCTTGAAAGGCGATGCGGACAGACGCACAAAATGCTGCAAACCTATCAATAATTCATAGAGGGTCTTATAAAGCATATAAACTTTAGGCATCATTCCAAAGTTTCACTTCATTAAGATTCACTGCATGCACTCTTAAATGAAATGGCATCTGCTGGAGCGAGAGCAATATCACATTAAGTTCCCATGACAGCGCGTGAAACTTTCACTATTTGTATTTTTCCCCGGTTCTATCTAAACATTCAAATAAAGACTCGCAGCATCTCTTGGGCTCTTCTTCATGTCCCAGCTGGTTGTGTTCATTAATCTCATTTTGCTTGTGGCGACAGTGTGTGGCTTTGCATTATTTTCATCCTGTGAGTCGGTGTTTGTCGCTGAGGCAGAATGTGGTCCTGGTGCTACCACGGAGGCAGTTTTGAGCACTTTGCCAGGTGTTCATTTTTCTGTCTGTGGACAGATTGTGTCAACGCGATGGCGTCGCAACGCGTGAAGATGCAGTCACAAAACTTTACAGGTGTGCAGCTGAGATAAAAATGAAGGCACGGTTTCAAAGTTGGGTGTGGTACGAGCAAGGGCGCCAGAGGTAAGGGGGTAGGAAGGGGGTCATTATTTTGTTAATTACTATCGTTCAGTAATCTTAAAGTTGAACAGCAATAGTTATTAAACGTATGACATTCATCCCTAATACAGGATTTTCTGCTGAGCATATCTTCACAGCACCCTGTGGTCTGTGCTGGTAGATAGATAGGCTGAACATCGGGGCCAAGACCACCCAGTGGAAAGAAGGAGAGAGGGAGTAACAGACGGAGAGACTGGGCTCCGAGCCCGACTCCCAAGGCTCACAGACTTTCACAGTTTCTCCTCTCCGCCGCTCATTTTTCATGAGCACCCCACGTCTCTCCTGTAATGACTTAGTTTGACCTCGCTTCAAAGCCTGCCCTCATGCCGACATCTCCTCGTTTTGATTCATTCTTCCACATTTAAAGGCCCCTCCTTGTTGTTGTTGTTGGGAGATCATTGATTAGGTCAACGGTGGACATGAAAACTATAATGTATTAAGCCGCTGTCCTCTCTCTGCCTCCAGGCGTCCCTGGAGTGAAACCCGAACGGTACGAGGAGGGCCTGGCCGTCAAGCACTGTGCCCTCTCCCTGGTGGGTGAGCCCATCATGTACCCCGAAATCAACATCTTCATCCGCCTCCTCCACTCCCACCGCATCTCCAGCTTTCTGGTCACCAACGCACAGTTCCCTCAGGAAATCGGGTAGGAGCACAAACGGACACGCACAACTTGTTTGTGTCGATGTCGCCATTTTCGTTTCTCCTCTCGAAATACACATTCCAGCCAATCTGTTCTGGCTCATTTACGTGTCTGTTATTATGCCTTCGCAAGCTCTTTTCTTTGAAGTCGGGGGAGGGGGGGGGGGGGGGGGGGGGTGGGTGGTGTGGTATTTGGAGAGTATGGGGTAGGAGTGTGTCGCAGCAGCAAGGATCAAAGGTTCAGTCTCCACAGTTGTGATGCTCTGTCCTTTAACAAGGAGGGTACAAGACGTGATAAATAGCAATACATTGTCAAATTCCACTTCTAAAGGTTTCAGAACATGTCAAAACGTATGTACTTCAAACTGTCTGCATGACCTCATCTGCCTCTAAGTGAGGCAGATGTTCTTTTGTAATGTGGTGAACTTTAAAGCGTCATTAATGACTGTTCACTCGCTGCTCTTACAGCACTAAAGGGATTGGTAAATTGAACTTCTTTCGCTTTTTATAAACGCTTTTTCAACTAGAAGTGAGGGTGTCCACAGTTAACCTGTAGTCGAGTCGATGATACAGAAATGTGAAAATCCCCAAAAATGTTAGCGTGATTTTATTCATGTGATCGACATTGATGTAAAGTTGTAAAAATGATGTGGAAGTATATTAAACAAAAAAAAGATTTGAGGGAACACAAAAAACCTAAATTGTATCTGTTTATTGCTTCACCTGTTTGAAATAAATATTCACATGACCTTCGACCTCTAATCTCTGTACAGAAGCCTTGCAGGTTGTCACCGAGACATAAACCGACACAGCCGATACGTCTGCTAACTCGCCTGTCACAGGCTGACTTATGGTATACACTCACAGAGCAGGTTGAGGAAGGCAGCCGTCGGCCATCTTTTTCTGTCTGTCAGAGCCACCTGGTTGGAGATGAGCTGGTACAGTTTATTGAGTCTCTATTCCAGCGCTGCTTCGTCAAGGGGAAACTGAGATTCACCAGAAGTAGAAAGAGCTGCATTCCCATACTTTCTGTCTCCCTGCTCATTTGGCTAATTGGTTGTGTTTGCATCTTTCCATAATTGCCCCTCTTGCACAGCACAAATTCGTATCTCCCGTCTAAAGACACATGAAAGGGCAGTGCTCTTCTTGTTTGTCCTGTGAGTCTTTTCCACATTTCCGGTTCTACTCGGGTGCGTCCTTCCTGCTCTTTGAGACTCTGCCACATATGGATGAGAAGCACTTCTTGTTTTTCACTCTGCCTCCTCATTTTGCCATCAGTTGTCTGTGAATTTGTGGCCTTTAGCACAACTACACAGTGTTTGTCTCGGTAATTTACATGCAACAACAAGAAGTCAGAGAGCTGACAATGCACTCGTGTGTTTTGAGAGTGTGGAGAGGTCTTGATGACATTGAGGGTGAATTTTTAATAATACTCTTTTTGTTTTCCTTTTGTTCTCGTGTTTTTCAAATGCTCCCGAGGTTTCGTACTACCTTTCTCCTCAGGTTCTCTTCTCTCTCTCGCTCTCTCTCTCTCTCTCTCTCTCTCTCTCAAACTGGATCGTTCTGATCCTCATCTCTGTTCTGTGTTCTCTCTCATTTCCAGGAGCCTGGTTCCGGTTACCCAGTTGTATGTCAGCGTGGACGCCAGCACCAAAGACAGTCTGAAGAAGATCGACCGACCGCTCTTCAAGGACTTCTGGCCCCGCTTCCTGGGCAGCCTCCGGGCCCTGGGAGAGAAGGTGAGCTGCTTACCGAGCTAATGAGAAAGAGGTGAGCTTGTGAACGAGAGGGTTAAACGGCATGTTTCTGTGAAGCGAGATGCTGCTGAAAAAGTCAAATTTACCGTTGCACAATGCTTAAGTCTGGACCACGCAGAGCGCCACTGCATGTGCTCTATAGTGTGGATATATTGCGGTAGATGAGGCTGTTTGGTAAGCGTGCACCTGAGAATGTGTTGTGTTGGGGGGGGGGGGGGGGGGG